CATTCTTTGGGGATCTAGGAAAAAACAAGTTGTAACAATTCATTCTCTCTCAGGCTCTAGACTGAACTCAAGTATAGAATTTAGCTAATTATAGGGTTGTGGAAATCAACAATAATAATAATAAAAATCCAAATGTTTCATTTTCTCTTTTGGAATGGAGCAATTGGAAGTATCGCACCTCAGTTCTTTGGTGTGGCGCAGTGACCAGTCTTTGGAATCTTCCCGGTGTGTGACATATAGTTGCAAAAAAATTTATCCGGGCTCAGAGTCTGAGAATGTGATTTAGGGCAGGGGCACTGGGTCATATGGTATCAGCTCAACCTACACCTGGGCAGTCAGTCGTGTCTATGGGACTAAATTCCAATAAAAATCCTAGACACTGAGGATTCCCCAGCTGGCAATGCTCTGTGCCCGTTGTTTCATGATGTTGCCAGTGCTCTCTGGGACTCCGTAAGGCGAGGAAGCTCAAAGCGTGGAGCTCTCCTGGATGCTGCTCCATGTACCTCTTCCTTTAGCTGGTTTTAATCTGTATGCTTTTGCTGCAATTAATGAACTATAATCATGAATATAACATCTTTCAGAGTTCTGAGATTTTTCTAGAGAATCCTAAAGCCTGAAGGTGGTCTTGGGGACCCCTGACCTCTGCAGAGGTGTCAGAAGTGAGGGTGGTCTATGGACTGTCACTTAACCCCTCAAAGGGGTTGTTTTCCCCGTGGCTTCAAATTCAATTTGTTAAGAGCATCAGAAATATTATCCATTCAGTAGGTAAACTTTGTTTCCAAACGTCTTTGAAAGTATCTGCCAAATGAGGTAACTTTTCAACCAGGACAACTGTCTGTTTCCCTGAGTTTATGCGCAACTCCATCTCTTCCTGAATGACCACAAGCAAAATAGCAAGTGGACAGCTGTCTCCAAATTCGAACCAAATGCTTCTCAAGACCAGGGCATGGCAGCTTCCTTGAATGGTCACATTTGCAATCCCCCTTGTAACTCCTTTATAGTTCTTCCTTCTCTAATGGAGAACTCCAAGTTCTGTGACACTATCCCTATGAGGGGGATGTGAGATTAAAGATAAACCATCATACCCTCTGATAAGGTGTCCTGCCACGTGGGTCTGACATCAGCTGGGAACATCAAACTGGATCTCAGAATCCTTACCAGGATCTCAGCATTCTGCAATAGAACAGTCTTTACAAGGGGGTCACTGAACCCTAAAAACTAGTTTTCATTTATTGGCTGATTTCTCATCCAACCTTACACAGGGTGTGAGAACTGTGTGTTGTGGAAGCCATTTTTTGGCTTATAATATACAGCTAAATGAGACTGAGAAAGGTTTTTCAGTGAGTTGTAGAATGATGACTAAGAAAGTGGACCGATATTTGACATATTTTTTTGGTTTGAAAATATCTAACGCCCCATTAACAAATTCAGGCCGCCATTTCTCTTTCTTTTTTTTCTTTCAAGATATTTTTTATTGATCTCAGAGAGGGACAGGGAGAGATAGAAACATCAATGATGAGAGAGAATCATTGATTGGCCATCTCCTCCACGCTCCACACTGGGGATTGAGCCCACAACCTGGGCATGTGCCCTGACTAGGAATTGAACCATGACCTCCTAGTTCATTAGTCAACCCTCAACCACTAAGCCATGCAGGCTGGGCTCCAAGTGTTTCTTTTTAAATCGAGGTATAACCTTATACATCTTAAGTATATACCTTTATGAACATTTTCATGTAAACACTCAGACTGATAAAATATTCCCAGTACCCCAGAAAGCTCCCTCATGGTCTTTCATTGTCAATTCCCCATCTTGACATAACCACTATTCAATGCCCAGCATTGTGAATCAGCTTCTGAACTTCACATAACTGGAAGTACATAGTAGGTACTCATTAGTTTCTGGCTTCTTTCATTCAACCAAATGTAAGAGTCTTCGAAGGAGCAGTGGTGTTTCTGGTTTTGTGGCTGTTAGAATTCTGCTGTCCAATTGGGCCATCAACACATTCTCCTGGAGGTGGACACTATTTGGGCTACTTCACTAGGGGCAGTTCTATCTTAGCTGCTGTGGACGTACTTCCACAAGTCTTTAGGTGGACATGCATTCAGCTCTCTTGGGTTGGAGTTGCTGTGTCATAAAGATCATCTTTATGTTGAACTTTTATGTCATTTTGAGTAGTGTGAGGAACAACTGCTCCATACACTCAAAGGAATTGTAGTCTCTCTGTTCAGGCATCTCACACTCATTTGATGTTGTTGATGCAATGATCCCCATCACCTTTTCATATACTGATTGCTCATGGGGACATCTTCTTCCAGAAGATGTGAACCAGCAACCTGGTATGTGCTCTGGTCGGAAATCCAACCAGCGACGTTTCTGTGCATGGGGCGACACTCAAATGAGCCACACCAGCCAGGGCCATCATAAGGTATTTTTTGTTGCCCATTTTAAAATTGGGTGTTTTTCCCAAGTCTATGGCAGTTTCACTATCATCGTGTGTCTTTAAAAAAAAAAAAAAGTTTTTATAGCTATTCAGAGAGAGAGGTAGAGGGATAGAGATAGAAACATTAATAAGAGAAACATCATTCATCAGCTGCGTCCAGCATGTCGCCCACTGGGGATCAAGCCTGAAATGCGGGGCGTGTGCCCTGACTGGATACCAAACCAGCCACCTCTGGGTTCATTGGTCAACACTCAACCACTGAGCCACACCACTCAGGCAGTGTGTCTTTTGATGAACAGTTGTTCTTATTTTTCATGAAGACTTTTATGGGCACTGACATTTGTGTCCTGTTGAGGAAATCTGTCTACTTCAAGGCCACGAAGAGTTTCTCCTATGCCTTCTTCTAGAACTTTTCCTTTCACATTTATATCTATTATCCATTTTAAACTAATGTATGTATAAGATGTGAGGCAGCATCAAGGTTCTTCTCCACATGGATATCCAAAAGACCAGCATGACTTTCCATCAAGTCCATCTTTGCCCCGTTGACCTTCAAGAGTCTTCTTCATTTTGGTAATTTTAAGTTTCCCTCACAGGAATATCATTAAGGAAAAAACATGGCCTCTACTGTTTTTTTGTTTGTTTGTTTGTTTGTTTGTTTGTTTGTTTTAGAATCTTTTTAATCCTCACCCTAGGATATGTCCTTTGTCATTGGTTGGCTTCTTCCTGCACACACCCTGACTGGGGATTGAACCCGCAACCTAGGCAGGTTCCTTGACCAGAAGTCCAATCTACAACCTTTTGGTAAACAGGATGATGTTCCAATCAACTGAACTAACTGGGCAGGATGGAGTCTACTGTTTTCATTGGATTTTTACACATTCTATAGTTCACCTTTTATATGTTTCTTTGTGGAGTTTCTCTCAAAGGACAAGTTAGCAAATTAGCATCAATATTTTCTTCTCAATATTGACACTAATTACATTTTTAGGTTGAGCAGATGAACTAGCATATGCCTTTTTTAAAATTCATCATTTGTTCCTCTTTGGTAATAAGATGATTTTTTAAAAAGTTTTTTTATTGATTTTTAAAGAGGAAGGAAGAGGAAAATAAAGAAACTTTGATGTGAGAGAGAAACATCAATTGGCTGCCTCCTGTAGGCACCCCAACCAGGGACTGAACCTGCAACCTGGTATGTCCCTGATCGGAAATCCAACCGGCGACCTTTCTGTGCATGGGGCGACACTCAAATGAGCCACACCAGCCAGGGCTATAATAAGGTATTTTTTGTTGTTAATCCTCACTGGAAATTTTTTCAATGGTTGTTTAGAGAGAGTGGGAGGTAAGGAGGGAGGGAAGAAGGGAGGGAGAGGGGAAGGGAAAGAGGGAGAGGGAGAGAGAGAGAAACCGAAATGAGAGAGACATATTAATTGGTTGCCTCCCACATACACCCCAACTGGGGCTGGTAATCAAACCTACAACCTAGATATGTGCCCTTGACCAGGAATGGGACCCAGGACCGTTCCATGCTAATGCTCTAACCACTGAGAAGACTGGCCAGAGAATAAGATTCTTTTTAAAGGTCAATCTGTATTTTTTATTTGGATACCAGTTGTCACCCCCCCCCCCCCAAATGTCATGCTTGGTAAGAATCTCTTTAAATGATGTGCTAATGGTTCACACCTTGACATTGTCCACTGCTACAGATTAAAATTCCCTCTTACTTTGCTTCATGACTAACTGCAAAGCATTACTATAAAACCGAGCCGTACAACCCTTATGTTATAGAGAGTCATATGGGCTGGTATGTACCAGAAAGTGGCATAAGACACTGAGAGCGGGAGCAAGATGCAGGCCGTGCATCCCTAGCCACCTTCTGCAGCTGCACATGCCCACCCTGCACTGGCAGAATATGCGCATTCTCCTTGGAGGCTGCAGGAGAACCATTATTTTCTTATTATTATTTAAATGGTACTTGTGCTCCACAAACAGACCCACTGAAGCTGAAAACACATACTCCCTTGTATTTGGTGCCCGTGAGGACAGGGCTCACAGTGCCTGGAGCAGTTAGCCAACACATAGCGGACCTCCAATGGCCCAGCATGAAAACTGTGTTTATCATGCAAGTATGGGGACAGGGCAGTGAGTGTGGGGTAGTCTAGAGAAGGAACAGAAACCCTTTCTGCTCCAGCAACTCTGGCTTCCACCATAGTCATGAGTGTTGGCCATAAGATAGGCACCCATCACACCACAGAACTCCTCTCCTTCCACCTCACCTCATCACTAACCTCAATCTTGCCAAACACACCTCATCATCCTGGGGCCTCTCCACCTGCTTTTGCCTCTGCTGGTGAACTCATTCCTAGACCTCCTTTCATCAGAGCTCCTTGGCTTCCCCACCACACTTTATTTCCCTCTCCCCATGCTGACATCACTTGTACGCTTCCTTGTTTAACCAATGACTGTGGAATGGTCTCACAGGCACATGGGAGGCCAGGAAAGGCAACTTTGAGGACCCCCGGCATCTGCCCACCCACCCGCCCATTCCTCAGCTTACCTGTCCTTATACTTGATGACAGCGTCCACAATCTTTTTCATTTTTTTGGTGAGGTTTGGAGGGTTGGGGGAGAGTTTCTCAGCAGGTGGCCGCCCGCGCTTTTTTTGCTTCTTGCTCTCCTCGTCCTTGTCTCGACTGCGGGTGCTGGTGGTTGGGGTGGAGGAGCCGGCATCGCTGTCCCGCTTGCGTTTTCGCGATGATTTCTTCTGCCGAACCTCCTCTTCGATCTCCTCCAGCGTGCCCTCCTCGATGGCCTTCAGGGTCAATAGTGGTAAAATAGGACAGCCAGCACCGAGGTTGACAAGCAGAGGCCGCGGCGCAAACCCGTGGGTTCTGGCTGGGGCAGGACACACACCAGGGCTCTCACAGGCTCCAAAAAGCCACAGAAGGCCAGAGCACATCCCACCCATGCCTGTCCTTCACAACTAGAGGGTTGTACTTTAAAAATTAGTCATATCTTCACTCCCGTGTAATGGACTCCTGTATCCCTCCACCCAGAGGTGACAATGTTAACATTTCTCTGGACCCAATGCATCTTTTTTTTAAAATTTGGTGAAACAGGTTTGAAATACACAACTCAGTGGCATTAGGTACATTCACATTGTGTGCAGCCAACCACCACCATCCAGATCCAAGATCTCCTTGCCCTTCCCATGTACATGTGCACAACTGAGACACCATGGAATTGTATCCACGTACCATATCATGACTCATGTTTTTGCTTACTATATCCTGGATGCATTTCCTGTTGTTTTTCTGCAACATAATTTTTAATGTCTGCTTAGTATTTTATTGCAAAAAGGGACATAATTGTTCATGGGCATTTGGGTTATTTCCACTATTTGGGGCAGGTGTGGCTATTCTACATAATGTCATGATTGACATCTGTCTTTTCTGTACAGATGTCAATCATGACATACAGATACAGAAGTGAAGCTGCTGAATTGAAGGACATCAACACGTACAATGTTAATTTTAAAAGGATCCTGATTTATTCATTCTGAATAATTTGCACGTTTAAAACAAAGAGAAGGGAAGCCAGGTTTCCAGGGGAGCTTGGAATCATAAAGGGAGGGGGGCTGGACTCAAAGGGTTGTGCTGGTCATTCGTCTCTCATTTATCAAGTGACTGTGACATGGGCAGGGGGCCTGGCACAGAAACAAAGCACTGAACAGAGCCAGGTGGACACTTAGCAGACAGACTTCCCACAAATGTAGTGACAACCATGGGTCAAGTTTCAGGAAGAAGGGTGAGTGTGCTGATTGTGAAGCAGACCTGTCCTACCTAGAGGTTCAGGAGAGCTTCCTAGAAGAGGTGGTACAGAAGCTAAGAACTGAAGGGGGCGGGACGGGGGAAAGGGGAGGAAAGACATCCAGGAGGGACTGAAAGTCAGCCAGCACAGGGGAGGGCATGTACTGCAGGCCTAGTGGGATAGATGAAATAATTGTCCCCCACCTGGTTGGAGCATCGGCCTGAGCACCAGAGGCACAAGATCAATTTTGGTCAAGGGCACATGCCTGGATTACAGGTCTAATCCTGGCCTTGGTTGGGGTGCATGTGGGAGGCAACCAATCAATGTGTTTCTCTCATATCAATGTTTCTCTCTTTTATCCCCCCCCCCCCCTTCCCTTCCTTTCTCTCAAAATCAATAGGAAAAAATATCTTTGGGTGAAAATTAAAAAATATATATATTGCCCACCAAAATTCATATCCAAATGGAACCTTAAAATGTTATTTTATTTGAAAATAAAATCTTTGCATATGTGATTACTTAAGAATTGAGCAAGATGAGTTCATCCCGTGTTAGGGTGGATCCAAAATCCAATGAGCGTGACTTTATGAGAGATAGAAAGGCCACACAGAGACACAGTGTAGGGCCATGTAAAGGTGGAGGCAGAGAGTGGAATGATGGGGCCATAAGCCAAGGAATGCCAGGGCAACCACAAGCTGAAAGAGGCATAGAAGTCTCCTCCCCTAGAGCCTTCGAAAGGAACAGGGTCCTGCTGACACCTGGATTTTAGAATCCTAGCCCTCCGGGACTGAGAGAATAAATTACTGTTGTCTTAAGCCACCAAGTATGTGGTAATTGTTATGGGAGCCCTAGGAATATCTAATACCCGGGTTCTGGTCCCCTGGCCTGCAAGGCAAGAGCCAGGAACATTCTGAACGATTTTGGCACATAGAGCATAAGAGTGTCTGTCAAAAAAGTTGTGCCCATTACACATCCATTACTAAGAGAGGAGAGTGCCTGTTTTGAGCAAATATATTTATTATTAATGTAAATTTTACTGAGAATGACATATAAAAAGCTATGTGTTCAATGGGGAAAGAAGAGTCTTTTCAACACATAGTACTAGGACCACTGGATATCCACAGATAGAAGAATGAAGTTGGACCCTAAATTATTACTATATACAAAGTGAACTTAGAGGATCATGGGCATAAATGTAAAAGCTGAAACTATTGAAAAAATATATAGGGATAAATCTTTGTGACCTTGCATCTCCTGAGAGATTCTCAGACAAGATCCCAAAAGATAAGCAATAAGAGAAAAATAAACTGGACTTTATATCAAAATTGAAAACTTTTGTGCTCCAAAGGAAACCATGAAGAAGATAAACCACAGATCAGGAGAAATGTTTGCAAATCACACATCTGGTAAGAGACTTATAAAAAAAGATATACAAGTGGCTAATAAGCACATGAAAAGATGTTCAGTGCCATTAGCCACTAGAAAAACGGAACTCAAAACCACAAAGAGACACCACTTTATACCACTGGAATTATCAAAATAAAAAACACAGATAATAACAAGTATTAACAAGGATGCAGAGAAATCCCCTCATATCCTGCTGGTGTGAATGTAAAATGGTGCAGCTGCTTTGGAAAACAGGCAGCTCACCCCTCAAAAAGTTAAACATAGGATTTTACCATTTGAGACCCAGCAATTACACTTCTAGTATATACTTGAGAGAAATCAAAACACATGTCCTCACAAAACATGTACACATATGCTCCTGGCAGCATTATTCACAATAGCCAAAAAGTGGGAACAACCAAAGTGTCCATCAACTGATGAATGGATAAAAAAAAGTGATATATCCGTAAAATAAAACATAATTCAGCCTTGAAAAGAAAGAATATGTGCTACATCATGGATAAACCATGAAAATATTTTGCCTTGTGAAAGAAGCCAGACATCAAAGGATCACATGTTAAATGATGCTATTTATATGTAAAGTCCAGAATAGGGTGACTGTCAAGGGCAAGGTGGAATAAAGGGAAGGAAGACAGCTCAAGAGCAAAGATAAGGATGTTCTAAAGTTGATCTGTGATGACAATTGCAAGACTGTAAATATAGTAAAAACCATCGGCTTGTACATGTTAAATGAATGAATTCTACAGTATATAAATTATACCTCAAAAAATGTATACAAAACATTAGTATAGCGAAAGGCACTCACTGTCTCAAAAATGTGGGGTTGGTAATGTTCTATGGAAGCTGATACAGATCTGTAACTGGGCCTAAGTTCCCTCATCTGGAGTTTTCTTCTTGGTCCTGAAGCCCTGGGCCAGAAAACAGGACACTACACCCACCCCTCACAAAAGTCTGCCTGGCTCCCTGGCATGTTTCAATGGCCCCTCTCATGCATATCTCAGTGGGCGAGTTTCCATGTCTGGGGTAGACAGGGACCAGGTCCCAGTTAACTCAAGGAACCCTAGGATGTACGACCAGAGGCAGCACCTCTCATTCTGGGATGTGGCAAAAGCCATCACCAACCTCCTGGGAACAACTGCTCCAGGGATATTTTTATGAAACTACTTCCAGGTTGGATTTTTAATCATTACCTCTCCACTCAGAGTTCCCAAACATGGAGAGGGGTCAGGTTTATCACTATAATCCCAGTGTACATGCAGTGGGCCCTGGGCAATTTAAGAGGACAGGTATTTGGGGGCTGCATTCTGCAACTACAGCTACAGGGCTGGGTGCTGAAAACGAGTGCTGACATCGCCTCTATGAGTAACTGTGGATGCAGTCTCATCAGCAGCTCAGTCCTCCCCAGCCTGCCTAGGAGTTCAGGTCCTAAGGGTGATGTGTCCAAAATGGGGTTACCTGACCCTGTCAGCATTCTTGACCAGCTTGCAGGACAACTGGATGTTCACTAATCTCTGGCTGTGTTTCCTATGTATGGACCGACACTCAGGAGACCTGCACCATGCTGAGATTGGCAATGTTTTACTCTAACCTCATGAAGAGGTGAACCCTCACACAGAAGAGGCCAATTACATACAAATACAAGCAGTGAGTTTCGAACTGCTTGGGGATGGCACTGATGCTCTTTCCTGTCTCTGGTCAGGAGGAATTGAGCAAACCTGACCCTATGCTAGAGTGTTGCTGTCGTGAATGAAAGCCAAGAATAGCTGAATGGAACATACTCAGGTTTTGGACAAAGGCCAAGCTATCGTGGTGTGAGCCTCTCCTCCCCCAGCCTAGCTCCTCGCCGGCCATCTCTGGCATATACCTTGAGCCACTGCTTCTCCGTTAGTGAGTCACTGTAGTCCACCTCCTTGCGATGGCGGGAACCACGGCCAAACATCTTCTCTTCTTCTTCCTCACAGGTCAGCCGCTCCACCTCCGCATCGTCCTTGATGATCCATGAGGGGAGCTCATCCTCCTCCATCAGACGTGGCTTCCGCTTGGGGTTGCGGGCTTCCTCACGCCTGCGGTCCAGATCCATGCGCTGGGGAGCAAGGAGAGGCGTCAGCACAGAGAGAGCCAGGAGGACATTCAAGGGATATTGATAAGGGGCTGCTTCTTTGTCTTAATAGTAGTTAAACAGCATCTCTGGGTATGGATTGCTACGGCCAAGGTGGCCTAGCTCCTGCGTCGGACCCTGGCTAGGGGCTCTGCTTTAGGGACAGAGAAAACTGGAAAAGGACTGGCAGATTGCATAAGGGAGCTGAAATTGGGTGACAGTTTCAAGGTATAGTCTTGTCAGAAGGCACAAAGCCTACTGGGGCACACAGCCCAAACTAATACCATACTTCTCACCCAGAAGCATGAGGTATTGGTGGCCAAGGTGCTCACCAGACCCGTGGCTTTGGTCAGTATTAATACACCCTTAAAGGGAACCTCAAGGGAGCCTCAGCAAATTTAAGAGGACAGGTATTTGGGGGCTGAGGGTGTGTCCACAATCCCTCTGACACTCTTAGAACATGGAAGAAAGCTGGGTGAATTAGGAGGCATTGTGGGGCCACCCCTGGCTCCATTACCATCCAGGGACTCTGTCGTCACTGGGAGTTTTTGCTCTGTTTGAAGTCATCAGGGCAGGGCATGTGAACCCCTCCGGGCTCCCCGTTTCATATGAGTGGAAAGTTGAGCTCCCTAAAGGTGTGTGAGGTGGAAATGCCACCTCAACTCCCGCCTGTGGAGCTTACCATGAACAGATCAAACTCCTCTTCGTGCCGGGCAATCATCTGATTCACAGTTTCGTCGTCGGGCACTTCATCTTCTTCCTACAAGATTTCACATGATTAGTACAAGGGTGGAGAGGCAAGGATGGGTGGTGGCCGGGCTCGGAGGCGAGCGGCGGCATCCATGGGAAATGAGCTGGTGGTCCCAGTCCGGCTGCAGTGGATGGCGATCTACACAGCAGCGAGAGGCACACACACACACGCACACGCACACTCCGTGGGTTCAGGGCCCTTGCTGGCCGTCTCAGCCGAGAAGCCGAGGATTGAATGGGCATGGAGACTGAACTACCCCTCTCACCTTTAGAGGTGGCTCCTCCAAGTCGGGGTTGACGCCCGCTGGCGGAGGGGCAGTGTGGGCGAAGCTGGCACTGCCGCTGCCCGTGCTGCAGTGTCTGCTCTGTGGATAAATAGAGGACTTCAGTCTCCAGGGCTGTCAATCCAGCGTCTTTCACCAGCAGTTTAGAAAAAAAAAAAAAAAAAAAAAAAAAAAAAAAAACCACTTCAAAGAAAAAGCAAGTACTCATCCTCTTTCCTTTCAGCCCACACTCCCTTTACTCCAAAGGGATGCAAAAAAAGAAAAATGAAAAAAAAAAAAAAGTACAAAAAAGGTAAAAACACAAAAATGAAAGCCGCTCATGCATTCACCACTCACGCTGGGGAGGGGGTTGGAGCCAGTGCTGCCCTCACCTCGTCCTGCTCCTCGTGCTCCAGGATGGCCTGCAGGAAGGCACGCCTCTCATGGCTGGAGGACTTCTGGTCAAACATGCCAGCCTGGATCACCTTCTGATCGACATTGAGCTTGTACTTGGCCGCAGCCAGAATCTTCTCCTCCACACTATTGACTGTGCAGAGGCGGAGCACGCGCACCTCGTTTTGCTGCCCAATGCGGTGGGCTCGGTCCTGCGCTTGCAGGTCCTGGGGAAGAAACACTGGTCAGTCTTGAGCAAGCACTTTAGAGTTTTAAGGGGAGGTCGGCCTTGCGAAGCCATTGGGAGAGGCAGGGCCTTTTGATTATTTTGTACCTGGCTCTTGCCTGGCCATTCTGCTAGTCCCAACCAGCAGCCGCCTGACTGGGGAGTTTAGGTACAGGATGTGGAGCCTGTGCCAGGAAGATTCCATACTGAGTTCCTGCAGAAGTGCTACTTTCTATCTCAGTGATACTTGAGATATACTCAAAAAGATAGCACAGTTTGGGAGGACAACCCCTGGGTGGTTATATCCCAAGCAGCTCCTATCACAAATGCAGGGGTCCCCTTGCCTACCCAAGGAGGACCCTATGCTCAGTGTGACTGTATCACGGTACCATTTACAGGATGGGGACAAAGCTGGACAGCACGTTGGCGATACCTACTTTGGTTGTGGTCCCTAGTACTTCCTTACTGTGCAACCCCGAACTCAACCTCTTTGAACCTTAGGTCTCACTCTGTTCACACAAGCCACTCTCCTGGCTTTTGTGTGCATGGGAGGAGCAAATGGGCATCGAATGCTCAGTCCATGCCTAGTGTGGAATAAGCTCTGATAAAGTGATAGCCATGACTGCCAACCTAATTTGGATCATCATCCCCAATACAGAACCAGGAGGAATCCCATGAAATATTGTGCCAAGTGGGCTGGTGCTGTTTGGGGCTGAGCTCCTAATGGAGGACACAGAGGCCACACCTGCTTGGAGACAGGAGTGTCCTCTCTTCACTACTGGGCCCCTGGCTGGCCAGCATGCTTCCTGGCAGGGCGAGCACTCAATGGCAGCTCTCAGGCCCTGCAGTGAGCATAGTGGCCTCTGATACTGCCCAGCATGACAGAGGGAGGACAGGGCTCCACAGGAGGCAGCTTCTCCCTGCCTCCTGCTTGCTGACAGGAGAGACACGCCCCAACCACCTCTTGGGAAACTGGCCAGTTGTCAAAGTCCAGGCAGGAACTACTCTCCAAGATGACAGTAGAAAGGGATGCTAACAAACACCCACAGTATTCGTCCATCAGATGGACTATCATTTTCACACTGGTTGTGGTAAGGGTATACTCACACCCCATCAGTGGGAAAGAAACCTGGGAGCCTTCTGGAGGCCACTGGAGGCCAATATCATGAAGGGGACACACCCATGAACCAAGCAATCCTCTCAAGGTTGGCCTGGCTGGTGCTCTGAGAGAGCAATAATAGGGCTCACTGAGGGGACTAGTGGTCATGTCAAACACCAGAACCCAGATGTCTGATAACTACACTTCGAGTTAAAAGTCTTAGGGCCACTATAAGCTGGGACGGCCAGCAGCTGACTAAATGCTCACATAGAGGTGAAACACCCCAGCAGCGGAAGGGGAGGGACACATCCTGGAAAATGCTGTATTTTTATGAAAAACAGAACATACAGATTAGATGCTGGCATGTACTCAGAGAACAGGATGGATGGAGAAGGGGAAAATGGACCCTACATTACTTTGAGTTAGTGATATTTGCCATTTTTAAAAAGTTAAGAAAAATTAAGTATTTTCAAACTATTGTATCTATAAAATCACAACCTTGCACCTACTGGCATGTGCCCCCATGGAGTGTAGACAGGTAAGAAACAGAGCAGCAGTACACCAAGTACATAAAGATGACCTGAGTTTTGTTTACAAAAGCACACGGCCTAAACCATCACTAAAACAGCAATGATTACTGCCAGCTAATAAGAGTGGGGCCTTTTGCATTTTCTGTCCACATTTGTGTTAATACTAGGATACTTTTTAAAATTTATTTCAGTGAAGGGAGAGGGACAGATAGAAACATCAATGATGAAAATTAGTGATTGGCTGCCTCCTGCATGCTCTCTCCCCAACCCTGCACTGGGGATCGAATCCACAACCCAGGCATGCCCCTTGACCGGAATTGAACCTTCAGTCTGCAGGCTAACATTCTATCCACTGAGCAAGACCATCTAGGGCCAGGCTTCTTTTTATATATGTAACAATGGAATATATTTTTGTCATATCAGAACAAAAAGCTATTTTGGTTTGAGAAACAGAGGGGAATGAATACAATGTGGGCTTCTCTCCAAAAGCCTCAGGCACTGTAGGTGCTGCTCCCCCTAGGAGATTTTAAGGAGGCTAGTGGCATTCATGAGGCTCAGCAGGATCTCCCTGTACCTCAAGCCTTTCCACCCAGGGCGCCAGGGGCTTTTACCTGGTGGGGGTTCCAGTCACTGTCAAAAATGATCACAGTGTCAGCCGACTGGAGGTTCAGGCCGAGCCCCCCGGCCCGGGTGCTGAGCAGGAAGATGAAATACTCGGAGCCGGGCTCGTTGAAGGTTTTCAGCAGCATGCCCCGATCCTCTGCTTTTGTGGTTCCTGCCAGGTATGAGGCCAACAGGGTTAGTGGGGTGACGAGGGGGAGATAGGCGGTGGCAAGGAGAGACACAGAGGAACATGTGCTTTGGAGAACAGAGACTGCACCCACTTATGACACTACTAAAAGCCATTCTCCCCATCCCAGAAGGTTAAGAATGAGCCCCATGAAGATGGCTGTGCCTCCTCCGTATAAAACAGGGATGCTGCAAGAATTAGACCAGGTTGGGGCTGAAGCCCAGCAAATACCCAGGCAACAAGGGCTGCGTGTCGTGCTTTTGTTACCACCAGTCCCTGCCCACCAGCTAATTTCGATAACACCGCACCCTCAAAACAAGCAACTGACCAGAGGCCAAGAGTCTGCCCTCAAATTACTGCAATGAGATTTCTTGTTTCAGAGAGAATTGCCCGCATGCAAGCACACAGGTGTCTTATTTCCCTTTGGGCAGGACAGGCTTCTAAGAGTTACAGGCACTCTCAGGTGTTGGCCCAGGACAAGATCCTCAGCATCATGAGTACCAGAGAGGTAAGTAAGTATTCACGATGCTGTTGCTGCCAGCTCAGAGCAGAGGTGCCTTGGCAAATTCAGGAGTCATTTTTGGTGATGAAACAAAAATTAAATACTTCCTGCCACTCACCTAGAGGTCCCAATGAACAGTGCAAAGGCCTGCTGCCCTCTAGAGCCTGGCCTACAGATGTGCCCACAGCTACAACAGATCTGAGGAGGGGCTGAGGCCTCAAGGGGGGCAGGGGAGGCCCAGAAGGAGGTGCCATCACCCCAGGTGCCTGATCTATATCCTTGCTCTTACCACTCTGGTGGTAGAAGGTTCTATTTTTTATTTTTTTAAAAATATATTTTATTGAATTTTTTTTACAGAGAGGAAGGGAGAGGAATAGAGAGCTGGAAACATTGATCAGCCACTACCTGCACCCCCACCCACAGGGGATGTGCCTGCAACCAAGATACATGCCCTTGACCAGAATTGAATTGGGACCCTTGAGTCCACAGGCCAACACTTTATCCACTGAGCCAAACCGGTTTCGGCAGGTTCTATTTTTATACAATGTGTCATTGAGCCCCCTTTCTCCATTCCTTTTTTTAATATATTTTATTAATTTTTTACAGAGAGGAAGGGGGAGGGAGAGTTAGAAACATTGATGAGAGAGAAATATCAATCAGCTGCCTCCTGCACACCCCTACTAGGGATGTGCCCGCAACCAAGGTACATGCCTTTGACCAGAATCGAACCTGTGTCCCTTGAGTCCGCAGGCCAACACACTATCTACTGAGCCAAACCAGCTAGGGCCCTCCATTCTTTACTAGAGTTTCTATCCGTTTGGCAGTGTCCATGAGAAGTACTAGGGATAAATCACACTTAACCCACAAAATCCTCATCCTTAAGGAAATAACTTGTCATGGAAGAAAGGAGAGAAAAGGGGGAGGTGGACGGCAACTGGGGTGGGTGAAAACACGCTTTCCAAATACTGTATAGCCTGTCCTCTGGAGGGCTGGGATGGTGACACAGAAAAGAACAAGCCCTCCCTAAGGATAGAGCAGCTGGAAAAGTCAAGGCACAGAGAGAAGAGTAAATTGAGACCCGTGATCAGATTTGTGTTTTTAGAGATTGCTCTGGATAAAATTCCAAGAACGAGCTGAGGAAGGCAAAATTCAGGGCAGGTTCTGGGACCAATAATCAGCCCAGCAATTACCTGTTTGTGGTCCGTGAAACCACAAGATGCAGAGTAAAGACAACACAGGACACAGAAGTTTGGGGCATCTGACCATGGAGATGGACTTGGCAATAGGCTTAAAGATTGAGTTGTGCAGGGAAAGAAGAAACTATGGCACTCAAGTTCATTTTTCTCATGAACACTGTTCATTCTCGCCATCTGAGAGAGGATGGGGACTCCCTCTAGGCCCTCCCTGGCCAGTTGGCATGTCACATCACAGGTTCTGCATGTTGTCAGCATCTCACTGACATTGTGACACTGACACAAACCCACTCCTGCCCTGGGCTCCCATGTGGTAGGGTAAAGGCAGGAATGCAGGCCTTCCTATGAGTGCAGGGTCACAGCCAAGCAGTTCCCAGAGTCTTGCTACATCAAGTTTCCTCCTCTCTTTCCCACTCAGTGCTCAAGGTTTCAGCAGGAACAAGCCTGGTTACAGCTTCAGGCCTGATCAGTGACAGTGGTACAGTCACCTGGGCAGTGGAGATGGGCATGGGACTCACAGCAGCCTAATGAGGGCCAGCCCCTGGAACTCTCTGTTGAGGACACTGCACAGGCAGAAGGGCACCTGCAGAGGATGCCACGGACAAAGGCACCAAGAGCCCAGGAAAGCCCCTCTAGGGCCCTGGCTCAGCTGTGCCCACAGCAGGAGAACACAGCCCTCCCTGCAGCCCTGAGAGCCTGTGTGACTGAGCGTGCTGCTGCACTCACTCCTGCTGAGACACCTAGAGGCTCGGACCTCGCACACTGGCCAGAAGCTCTGACCTTGTCCTGCCTTGCAAGGGAGGGCACACTGGCCAGAAGCTCTGCCAGCAGTGATAATGAGACCCCTTAACAAATGTCTCTCTTGGTCAGACTCACCATCGAGCCTGAGGTATTTAAAGCCACGATACGCAAAATAATCTTCCATAATTGTCATGAGGGAGGTCATCTGACAGAAGAGTAGCACTTTATGGTTGGTGGCACGAAGTTTGGGCAAAATTCTATCGAGGAGCTCAAATTTCCCTGAGGCTCGGTACAGGTCCAGCCTGGTAAGCAGAGGGAGGAGGGAAGAATACACACAATGTTAACAATAGCACATAGTAGGTGGCAAGAAGGAGACACAGTCCCATTTCCAGGCTGAACAGAAACAGCCTACAAGGGCTGGTCATCAGGGGGTAAGGGCACACAAGTGACTTCCTAGGCAGATCCCCTACCCCCAAGAAGATTAAGCAAATCCAATTAAAATACATTCAGGCCATTCTTGGATAAGGGTGGCCATGGAATCATCATCCAACTTGGATACTTGTGAGAAGAGAAGCTATTAGTAACTATGCAATGTCTCCATTTTGTTAAAAGAACCAGAAGCCATAGCTTACGCTATAGAGTGCCCACACTGAGCCACAGACCGGGCTAGTGGTCACTGCAGTTCCTCTCAGTCACTGCAGTCTACTACCGCCAGTTTACAGATATGGAAACTGAAGCTGGGGACAGCGGTACACGGTTGCTGCAGTGCCTGAGCCAGGACTCAAACTCATCCCTGTGGGACCTCATTAAGCAATCCTATATAATAAAAGGCTAATATGTAAATCAACCAAATGGCAAAATGGCTGGTTGCTATGACGTGCACTGACCACCAAGGGGCAGACACAATACAGGAGCTTCCCCCTGGTGGTCAGTGCACTCCCACAGGGGATGAGTCAGCCAGAAGCTGGACTCACAGCTGGCCAGCAGAGCGGAGGTGGTGGAAGCTTCTCCTGCCTAAGCCATCAGTCAGGCATCCCCTGAGGGCTCCCGGAATGTGAGAGAGCGCAGGCTGAGCTAAAGAACCCCCCATGTGCACAAATTTTGTGCACTGGGCCGCCAGTTGGGAATAAAAAAAGACACCTTAGAAGATGGTTTACTTTTTGATGTAGTGCCTCTACTCTTGGAAGTGGCTTAGTATCCCAAAGAAATGATGGTGTTAGCAAAGCTGCTGGCAATAGTGAAATCTAGATATAGCTTCCACATCAAACACCACAGGTTTAATGAAGCCTGAGCTGCACTTTATAAACAATGCCAGGGAAAGCACATCCATGGCAAGGTGGGCAGCACACCATATGTAGCATCTCCCTGTTGGCAGACAGAGTTAAGGCTCAGAGCGGTGAAGCAAGTTGGTAACGTTCACAGAGCCTTGAGGGAGGTGGCAGGATGGGGCATGGAAACCAGGTCAACCTTAAGAATTCTAATGGTGGGCAACTCTCGTGTGGAGGTCTCTATTTTCTTCGTTGAATTTGTCTATATTTTCTAAACTTTCTGTCATGAACTTAATGCCTTTGAAATCAAACCAATGTAACACTAGCAACAAGACCAATAAAACATGTGAGAAACACCACCACATGGCCCGCCTGCCCACCCCATACAGCAGGGACGCTTCTCACCCTTGGACGATGCCACCGGTAAATCCCAGGTGCTCGGAAAAGGACTCCTGTAATGGAATGAGAGACAATTCAATGGGGGTGAGGGGATGGGCAGAAGAGTGCTGCCAGGCACCATGCCTCTGAGCCCTCACACCAGTGCTCAGTGCCTGTCCACAGTGGCTCTGAAACCACAGATGTCAACTACATCTGTTCTATCCCACCCATGTATGTCTCTTTCCCCGTGTTTCTCCAATGAAGGAAAGAAAGTCATGCAAGAACCCAAATTCTTAAAGGGCACCATGGCCCAAAATGATATGACCCAAGACTTCCTAAAGAGGAAAGCTGCCGAAACCGTTTTGGGCTCAGTGGATAGAGTGTCAGCTTGCAGACTGAAAGATCCCAAGTTCGATTCCAGCAAGGGCATGTACATTGGTTACAGGCACATCCCGGGAAGGGGGTGTGCAGGAAGCAGCTGATCGATGTTCCTCTCTCATTGATGTTTCTAACTCTCTATCCCTCTCCCTTCCTCTTTGTAAAAAAATCAATAAAATATATATTAAAAAAAAAAAAAAAAAAAAAGAGCCGAGACCACTTTGGCTCAATGGATAGAGCGTCGGCTTGGGGACTAAAGGGTCCCAGGTTCGATTCCGGTCAAGGGCATGTACCTTGGTTGCGGGCACATCCCCGGTAGGGGGTGTGCAAGAGGCGGCTGATCAATGACTCTCTCTCATCAATGTTTCTGGCTCTCTATCTCTCTCCCTTCTTCTCTATACAAAATCAATAAAATATGTAAAAATAAATAAATAAATAAAATTTCCCTTATTAAAAAAAAAAAAAGAAAAAAAAAAAAGAAAAAAAAAAAAAGGAAAGCTGCTCAGAGTCAATACAATGACCCAGGATGGCCCCACATGTCACTGAGTGGGAAATGCTAGTGCATCAGTGAACAGAGGCAGTGTGACCCCACAAGGTGAAAATTGACCCAGAGATGAGTTTTCTAATAATTTGTGATTATTATAGGGTGGGCTTTCAAGGACTTTCTAGCCCATGTTTTTTTTTTTTTTTTTTACAATGTTTTGATTCTTTCCCATAAGCACTTGCAAATAGCAAACCAACAGAGAAAAATGTACAGGCATCATCTATTAAAATATTATAAACTTTTTTTTTTTTTTAAGTTATCAGGGAGAAGCAATTCAGCCCTGCCTGTGGGTGCTCATGGCAGCACTGGGGCCAGGAAAAGGGGGCCTCACCTCGATGTGCTGGAACATGTACGGGTGGTTGCAGATCTTCCTCAGCTGCATGATGGTGTTCATCAGGGTCTTGGTGCCACCTTTGCCCTGCAGAGAAAGAATGAGTCCCACATCGAGTCTTGTCCCAGGGTGGAGTGGGATGGGGGTTGGAAAGAGGATTGTGGAAGGAGAAGTTTTAGGGGCAGGTATGGCTTATGGCAGAGAAATGAGGAGTGAAGAACTGGCTCCTGTGGAAGCTCAGAGGCTTGGAACCAGCTCTGAGGAGAGCAGAGACTACCTGTGCACTGGAGGGATGGAAGGTGGGAAGGAAGGGAAATTAGTGACAGAGCTAAGGCTGAATCACAAACACTTTTTGAAACCAGCTTCACTGTAGGCATTGTGGCAAGTCTCTAGGGATTGCAGCCAGATGGGTCATGACTTAGGAATATTGCTGGCTACAGCGTGAAGAAAGGATTCAGGAGTAAGTGGGTGCCGTGGGATAGAATTAAACCAGTAAACACACTGCTGCCACAGCTCAGATAAAAAAGGACCCTAACAAAACATCTAGAGGAGGAAATGGGGAGGTAGAACTAAGCTTGAGGTACTGTGTGTAGAATTAAGAGACCTGAGATGATAATTTCAGTTCAGGTGAAGGATGGGATAGGTGAGCACTAGACCTCAGAGAAATCCCAGAAGTCAACAGCCCCCATTCCTTTCCACTGTAACACCATCCCCTGCCCATTGTCATCTGCTAAAAAGGTGAAAGGGCAAAGTGTTCATGACTATTGGGGCAGCTTTTTCCCAGCTGGGAAGGTAGGGCTCTCTAGAACTTTCTAATTCTGCGGGAATTAGTGCTGGGCCCAGTATTGCCACTGACACCCATGGTGGCTAACATTTCATAAACAAAAAGGTCACCAGACAACATCTGACGTGGGAAGTTCTTTTGGCTCTAAGTGTGCCCCAGAATTGGTCCATGAGCCTCTGCTCCCGCAGCCTTACTGACACATTCATACCAGCCGTGACTTAAACAATAGCTCTGCAGTGCTCTTGGGATCACCACTTCATGGGGCCTAGACCACAACAATAAGCTCCAAGGTGGAAGACCTGCAGGTTACAGTGTGCTCAACCCCACACTCCTGGCTGCCCCGAAGCCACCCGCCTTGGACACTTAAGTGGGGAAGTGGGGCCTGGGCAAACCTTCTTGTCCTTTTCAGAGCCATCGGTCAGCAACACCCCTTTGGCTTGCATGTGCCGGTACAACACACGTTGCAGAGCAGACATGTCACACTTGATGACGTATTCCACCTTTAAGAGACACACAATGTATCAGTGGGGGTACAGGGGTCCTGAGCCTAATCCCCCACTTGAGCACATCTATCTCTTGGTAGCATCCTAGGCACTGGGATGCTCTGATCAAGGCACACAGGGGTGATAGTGAAAAGGCCCCAACAGCTGGGGATACGGGGAAGTAATGCACCAGGACAGAGAAACATGGAAGGGGAGTCCTGGACTGCTCTTGCCCCTACGGCATCCACTTCTCTCCCCTTCTTTCCCACTCTCAGTGCTCAAGGTTCCAACAAGAACAAAGACTAATTCCAGCTTCAGGCCCAATCAGTGATAGCTCCACAGATACCTAGGCAGTGGAGAGATGGGCATGTGGCTCACAGCAGCCTAGGAAGAGCCAGTCCCTGGAACTCTGGGGAAAAGGATGGACTGCCTCTCTGTTGGGGACACATGTGGCCACCTTCCAAAGGCCTCTCCAAGTATGACTAGAGGGGTAACTGTGGCCAGGAACCCCCAGCCCTGCCGGGGGGGAGGAAAGGGAGCCCTAGAGACCCACTGTGGTACAAGAGTTCAGAGCCATTTCAAGATGGGGAAGCAGTCCTGAGAGCCCATGGTCTCCAAGCTGAGCTTGTGACATAGTTGGGCAGGAGCTGCCCAAGCATCTGACCTACTGACAACAGGTAGGATTCTGTATTCTAATCTACCACCCCTGCCTTCTAGTGCTCTAGAGGGGGTGAGCAGCCATTCCCGGGATGGATTTACTTCGGAATGACAGGGCAAGGCCAGGACCATGAGACCATAGGCCAGCAAGGACAGGAAAGCCACGCTAGGGAAGCCCTGCACTGTGATTTCTTCTACTTAAAATCCTGACGGTACCTTTTCAGGCAACTGAGCTTCAACCTCCTTCTTGAGCCGCCGGAGCAGGAAGGGCCGTAGCACTTTGTGGAGGCGACGAATGATGAGGATGGTCTCCTCCTCGTTTAAGTCCACCTGGCATGCCATGAGAAATGTAAAACTAAGAGTTACTTCCAAAGGGGGGGCATTTGGAGTCACCCTGTGCCCTGCCCTACCTTTTCAGAGTGCCCTCTGTTTTAGGGGGTTTGCAAGAAACCCTTTTCTTTTGGAAAACAGGAAGGGCCTGAGCTCTTCCCTAGAAATGCCAGGACGTGGCACCACATTCCACAGGCCTTACAAAGAGCAATAAACTGCTGAGAGAGTCTCCTGCCTCCATGGCTGCTTAACTTCCCATGCCCAGCTCAAATCGGGACCCGGGTAAAAGACAGACTTGGCTGACAGCAGCTGCTCTCTCACTACAACAAGACTTGATTGAGTTGTCTTGTACCCATGGTATGGGGAAGTGGGTTTTTGATACCTAAGTCCAGCCTACCACAAGGATTGCTCATGGCCTATTCAAGAAGGCAAATAATCCTTTCCATTATTATTTAGATGGTAAAATAAGATTGTTTTAGAGTAATAAATTTGACAGTAAAATAGTAGACAAGTTTTCAGGCAAATTTAAATAGGCTAATTGAAATAAGCGAATATTCTAGAAAATTAATTGCACTGGACAAAAAGCTGTGCCTAAAGTGTTAACTAAAATTTTTATTGGTAGTTCATCTCATGATAAAATCTCACAACAGGAAATGAACCTAAAGCAGTCATATTATAATGCAAAAAAATAAAATTTAAAAGCCATCAAGACTACATTATAAAATTTTCAAAAGCCTCCTAATATTTAAATCAAAAAAGGGGGAAAGTAAAATAATATCATGTAAGGAAAAATATCCCAAAAGTAAATTACATCTAGAAAATTTGTATTTTAGAAAATTAATTGTAATGCTAACAGCAAGACACCCATGAAAAACACAGATAGTGTCAAAACAAGCAAGAGGAAAATTATTTAGGCAAAAAATGAAAAAGGATCCCAAGTCAAATTTATAGAAAATATTCCTTTATTAACTTTTGGTCAAGAATATGTTTGTATATTTTCAGAAAACAACTTCGAGACCATGTGGATTCTGGCAAACAGAGAGGAATTGACAGGACTACTCCAACCATGAAGACAGAAGAAAAGCAGTCCAGAGATGGAAGTCGCTGATGACGCCTTGCCATAATAGCAGTCAGCAGCTGTGTATCACTGTGTATCACAACTAGAGAGGGTTGGACCTGCATTACCACCATTTGCCTACCATCCAGAACTGAAATATTATTGCTGACATGTACACATAAGGAACTGTTTGACATTGAAATTGGGTCTCAAAAGAACTGTTGGCCCAGAAAGAAACTCACTACAGACTGATTCATGTGCCTTACAGGATAACCATTATTGCTTGCCTCATTTTTGATTCTTATAAGTATATTTCCACTAGGACATGATCTCACTCATCTAGGGGAAATGGTGAACAATGTAGAATGATGAACAAGAACAGACCCAGAGATAAGGAGTCAAGGGTCAGACTGTTGGACCTCAAAGGGAGGGTGGGGATAAAAGGGAGAGATCAACCAAAGGACTTGTGTGCATACATATGAGCCTAACCAGTGGTCAAGGACAATAGAGGGGTAGGGGCATGAATGGGGAGGGGTAGGAGATTGGAATGGGGGGCTGAGGACAAATATGTGATACCTTAATAAAGAAATAATTTTTAAAAACACACAAAAAACAAAGAGCAATAAAGCAGCATAGTGCTGCTTCCCGCCAGCACATCTAAATGAAAGCTAAGTGGCATGATGGGGGCCACATTCATAGAGTGTTTGGTGTAAACCAGATGATGCTCATGGAGGGCTGTACCACTGGGAGCCCCATATCCACTCTCATTTCAGCTGGGAAGGGATGGGAGGGAAAGAAATGCTGCTCTCCCAGGGTGGCTGCTACTCTGGTAAAAAATTAATTTTTAAAAAAATTTAAAAAGTGAAGAATAAGTCCTGGCAGGTATGACTGGGTTGGAGCATCATCCTGTACACCAGTGCCCACAGGTTGAGAACCGCTAGCAGGGTCGCCTAAAACCATCGGAAAATAGATATTTACATTACGATTCATAACAGTAGCAAAATTAGTTATGAAGTAGCAACGAAAATAATTTTATGGTTGGGGGTCACCACAACATGAGGAACTGTATTAAAGGGTTGCGGCACTAGAAAGGCTGAGAAACACTGCTGTACACCAAAGGGTGGCAGGTTCAATTCCTGGTCAGGGCACATGCCCAGGTTGTGGGTTCAATACCCAATTGATCGATTTGCATGTGTTTTGTGAGTGTGTGTGCATTTGTGTGCGCACACACGTGGGTCTGTCTGACTCTCTTTCCATTCCTTTCTCTAAAATAAAACAATAAATGACATACTTAACAACAACAAAAAAGTTCTAAGTAAATAAAGTAATACCTGAACTTTCCTTCTGTGGGTCCCCTAGAAAATCTCTTGGCAAAGTTTTTACTCAACTTGAAAATAAATGAAACTAGAGCATCTGCTTCTCAGTTATTAAATGGGGGGCCTGGGACTCTTGGAAATGTCTATTTTTCCTTCAGAATGGCTTCAGCCTAAGCTGGTGTCAAGGAGGGAGTACCTCACAGATGATGCTGGCAGAGGCCCCTCTGCACACATGGTGTAGTGGCCCCAGCTGTCCTGCACCTGTCTAAGGAAAACCTCATAATCGGGAACAAGTGACACTTATTACACGCTGCAGTTGTACCTACTTCCTCAGTTGTCAGGCTCTGGCGGCTTAACTGCCTTCAACTGAAATGCAGCTGGCCCACAAACACAGTTTAAACCCCAATAGCACAGCAGCTCACTCTGGAGTCTGCTTAAGGAGTTCATCAAGTGATGAGCCCACATGCCACAGTCTGGTTTTCAGTCTGCCATTGCCACCCCTGGCTATTTAGGCCTTGAGATCCACCGGCCATAGAGCATTTTAAAAATGAAATACACAGCCCTAGCTGTTTTGGTTCAGTGGATAGAGCATTGCCTGTGGACTAAAGGGTCTCAGGTCGATTCTGGTCAGGGGCACATGCTGAGTTCGACGGTCCCGCCCAGTGTGTGTGTGTATGTGTGCGGGCGCGGGCACGGTCAAGCAGGAGGCAGCCAATCAATGATTCTAATTCTCTCCCTTCCTCTCTGAAATCAATAACATTAAAAAAAAAAAAAGAAAGAAAGAAAGAAAGAAAGAAAGAAATACACAGAATACGACATTACTCCTGTGACTAAAAACTTTTGGGCTTTTCACTGCCCTGAGGGTAAAACCTAAAATCCTTAAAGGGACTAACAGGTTCCTAGGGCCCTCCAGTTGTCCTTCACACCCTTGTTCTGGCCCCATAGCTCCCTCAAGGCCATATTCTTCACAGTGCCCTCTCTGTGTCTGGAGCCCAGGGTCAAAGAAGCCCCAAGTTTCTTCCCAGATCTAATCTCCTCAATCACTGCTCTTCTCTAGGAACTTGACACCTACCACCCCATGGTGGTGGGTACCCAATGCACGCCCAAATCCTCTGATGATGGCCCATGACCATAGTTCCCTGCCCCATCTCACCACCACATGGCTGGCCGCACACACCCACCTTCTCTCCAGTCATGGCAAACGGCGCATTGAACCACTGCTCAAAGGTGCTGCAGCTCTTGAAGATGGTGGGCAGCAGGAAATTGAGGAGCGCCCAGAGCTCAGGGAGCTTGTTCTGCAGCGGCGTGCCTGTCAGCAGAAGGCGGCGGGGAGCCACATAGTGCGTGTTGAGGACCTGTGTCAGCTTGCAGTGATGGTTCTTCATGCGGTGGCCTTCATCCACGATCATGTACTTCCAGCGGATCTGCAGGCCCAAGAGCAGGCATTTAGAGGAGAGGCCGTAGGGCTTCTCACAGCCATTAGGCAAGAGTGCTCCACGTAGAAGAGTTTGTTTAGATGGAGAACATGAACATAACAATGTCCCCTGACAAGGAGCCAGCTCACTGAGAGAAAGACACACAACATGCCTCTATAAAGCATGCAGTAAGCACGAACAGACAAGGAGACATGCCCATGAACTGTTGGATGAACAAAGCAAGTTGTAGAAAAGTAGTCTGGTTTCCCTCCCAAAATTACATATGCTAGTATGTAGTACAGAAAAATCGTCAAACAGCACCTCCCCCTCACTGATCAGAGGAGTCCAATGGGGGAAGGGGTACATCTACAGGGGACACGGCGAGATAATACATAATACATTTTCCAATGTGCCTTTAAAGGTAGAGAGACTCAGGCAGATTCCGAGTATGAGCCTGTGGGCTAGGGCTGTGCTCTAGAACCTGTCTGTGGCTACACATCTGATGGATATAGAGGCGGGATATTGACTATATCAGTGTGTGGCCATCCTGTACTTTAGCCTCTTAGGGACACAGTGAGTAAGGACTGAGTGACACAGTGTCAGAGGCAGATCTGGCTGGTGTAAGAATACAAGAGCCTTCTCCCATGAGGAAACCCCATTGCAGAGTGTTTGCTAATTAAAGCTGCTGTCGAGTAAGCACAGATAACTTTGTACTGAGTCAGAAGGAGACCAGACAATGTACATCTGCTCTCTAGGCCTCACTCTCCTCATTTGTAGGCTCAGAGATGCCTACTAAGCTATCATCATTCTGACCAAGTCCCTGAGTTGCGGTAACTTGTAAACATCTCCATCTTGGGTCAAAGACTCTATCCTCTACTTCACTCTACTGAACGGTTAGTGGTGAGACCAGATGCATCATCTTCAACCTTGACCCCTCCTCAAACCAGGAAACAAGGGATGGTGTCTGTTTTATATCACTATGTTCTCAGTAATTCAGTATGGCCTAACTAGAGCCACCTTCACAACTATGTCAGCTAAGAAGCCTGTACAGCCTCCACTGAATTTGCCAGCCCAGCAGCCCAAGGCTTATGGGCCACAAAGGGCCTCAGAGAGCATCATGGGCTGGTTTCGCATGGCTATGCTGAGGCACAGTATAAGGTCGCTAGAGACAGGTAAAGACAAGGCTGGCTTCTCCATGGCCCTATCAGAACACTGCAGGAAGACAGGTGGGTCAGGAGGCATCTTGTGTGACCAAACTCTTTGGGCAAAAGCCCTAGGAGACACTAGCGCGCATGTTTTGTAGGCAACCCCATATCTGGATCTAATCCCAGGCTAGCCTGGGAACAGAGAGGCAAACGCAAGGTCACCTTGACAGGGACCTTGCATATACACAGCAGCTATCTTTATACACATGTGCATATGTGTATATTATGGGCTTTGAGAAGATGGTAAGTATGATACATTCATAACAATCCTGGATCCAGCCGGGTCACATGCTCCCTGATAGCAGTGAGCAGTGGCTGGTGTTTTACGAGGACACGCTACCTTCGCAAGGATGTGCTTGTCTTTAATGATGTACTCGTACGTTGTTAGCAAGACGTTGAACTTGCCACTCCGGAGCTGGGGGACGAAAGCCCGTCTAGCTGCTGGAGAGCCCTAGGAAGAAGAGAAGACATGCACACATCAGCCTCCAGGGGAGAATTGGGTGAGCTGCTGGTTCCTGTCCTCCAACCGCAATGTGCTGAGTGCCAAATGCAGGGAGCAGAGAAAGGCTTGTGGGTTCTCTGGGAGGCTTGCTGTCTGCACCATCTGCCTGAGCCCCAATGGCAAATCAGCTCCCCACCTCTTCCTGGTCTCCCTTCAGGCTTCCAAGCTGAACACCAGGGCATCCTCCTTAAAACCTCCCACTTTAGCACTGGCCACCGAGATCATTTCCTGACCGAAGCTCCAGCCTACTTGCAATTAGCAAACCTGCCCTGTCCCGCTCCCAGGTCCAAACTCCTGAACTATATGACCAGAAGCCCAGTGTTCTTCAGGTTCACATTCCACACAGATTGATATCCATGGGTCCCATAGCTTTTGCCAGAAATACTTTTAACTCCTCAACTGTTCCAAGTTTTCTCCACACATGCTGTCCCTTCTGCCAAGACCCCTCTCCTCAGCATGAGCAGAGAGCCTCACAGCACAGGGTGAAAAGCCTGGTCCTGGGAGCCCAGTGACCAGGCATAACCTGGCTCTGCAATTAAATGGCTGCATGAGGCCCTGTCTACCTCAGTTTCCCCACCAGGAAAGCAAGTACAAGTCCCCACTTCATAGGGTGAATTGATAGAAAATAAACATTACTCCACAAAACAAGTGACCCCAAACCTGCATTAACACCACGATCCCAAGTGTATAACATAAAAAAATGCACACACGTGCCTCATTATTAATACAAGCTGACTTCCCTATTCACTTATCTGTATTCCTTACTCTCCTCCCCTATTCTCACTTACGTCCACTCCACAGGCTGTGACATACCTTGTAGGACACCTTCACCACGGAGGGAGCCCACTTGTCAAATTCGTAAGCCCAGTTTGACAGCGTTCTAGCGGAAACAAGGAAGGAACAGTCAGGTTCTAGTTCAGTCAACAATAGCTCACTGTTCATACCAATGTCCACTGGGAAGTGATGCCAGTGTGGTGGTGGCGCTCAGAGCTAGTAGGTAACTGATCATCTCCAATGGGAGCAAGTGAGGGAAGGTGCCCTGGGAGGGAGGATCAGGGACACACAATGTGGTGATGGGTACAGGGTCAGTGAGAAGCCTGAGTCAGCCTGGACTAGAGTTGGTCGGCAAGAGAAGGCTGAACCCAAAAGTTGGACCTTAGAGACCAGTTCAGAACCATCTGTGAGAATAAGCTATATTCTATAAAACTGTGCCAAGAAAAACGCACAGACTTGTGGTGCTTCATTTCAGGTTCAGAACCATGCTAGAAATCATGCTATGGAACCTGGGAGTATGGGACACCACCTGTATCTTTAATACCACTTCAAAATAAAAATGACAGTCCTAGCCAGTTTTGCTCAGTGGGTAGATTCAGCCTGTAAACTGAAGGGTAGATTCTAGTCAAGGGCACATGCCTGGGTTGCAGGCTCAATAGGGGGCATACAGGATCCTCTCTCATCATTGATGCTTCTATCTCTCTCTCCCTCTCCCTCCTCTCTGAAATCAATAAAAATATCTTAAAAGTAAATAAATAAACTTGACAGGCTTCTAAATGAAATAAAATTAAATAAAAATGACAGCCACTGAGGGCTCTTGCCCAGTATGGCAAAGAATAAAGATGGAACCCGGTTGGCATAGCTCAGTGACTGAGCGTTGACCTATAAACAGGAGATCATGGTTCGATTTCTGGTCAGGGCATATGACCAGATTGTGGGCTTGATCCCCAGTGTGGGGCATGTAGGAGGAAGCCAATCAATGATTCACTCTCATCACTGAGGTTTCTATCTCTCTTTCTCTGAAATCAATAAAAATATATTTTTTAAAGCAAGAGGGAGGCAGGACAAGCAAATGCATGGTGGAAAGTTCTACATCCCAACCAGTGGATGGGACAGCTGAATGCTCAAAGTCTAAAAACATTCTCTGGGGCACAGTTAGCTCTTCTGGCTCAAAGATGACATTTACAGACTGGACCCTTGTCAGAAAATCAACACATGGCAAAACTTCACTGAAGGGAAGAGGGGAAAGAAGCCGACTTAAATAACCTCGGAGAAAGGTTATTTAGTTTTAACTGGAAACTAAAAGCCTAGAGATGAAAGGAAGTGGATCTGAACACAGTACTCTAGGTGGTAAAGTTGGTTTGCATGGGATAATTCTTCTGAAAGCACTGTATATGTACACTGGGGATGAACAAATAAATGAGAAAACCCTAGAACGAATCATATGGTCCTCACTGAGAACTGGAGACCACAGTATGAATATGTTTAGCTTTAACAGAGATACCAATGACCAGACACTATTATCTATGTTATGATATTAGATATGTGCATATAAGGCTTAGTACACATATACTGATTTTTCTAGTGCTGCCCGCTGAGAGGGCCTAGAAGTATGGATACCCCCATACTTCTACATCCAGATCATGGCTTTCAATTCCATTCTCTAATAAGATAAACCAGGCTGATTCTAGGCCTAGGTGGAAAATGTACATGCTGAGCTTGGAGCACCTTTCGGTGACAAAAAGTAAAGTGCTCAAAACACCACAGTGATGGGGGCATGTCAAAGGGACAGAGTAACCAATTGAAAGAGCTCCTCCCTATGGCCATAGCTGGAATAATTTGAGCAACAAAGTAAACTAGTACTGGAGTATAACCCAAAATATTAAAAAAAAAAAAAAAAAAATGCATGAGTCCATACTTGATAGAATTAAATAAATTAACAATTGGGAGAGAAGAGAGAAATATTCTGTACAGAATTAGAATTATTCCAAATAATTTATGCATCTGCTCCCTCCTTAAGGAGGTGTAGCTTAACTGCTTGTGTACAGGACAAGCAGAGTGACCTTACAGAATAAAGTATGGAAGAGAGAAAAAAGAAAAACTTAAAAGCAGACACCTCACAAACACTACCTCAGCCATGTGATCAAGGTCAACATCAACAGTGAAAAGTCATGTTGACAGTAACTACTGTATGATCTTCTGTCCCATGTAAGCATGAAAAAAATCACCAGACAGATCCAGACTGAGGGAACCCTACAAAACACCTGAGCAGGTCTCCTTAAAAAACATCAAGGTCATCAAGAATATGGGAAATCTGAGAAACGGTTAAAGACCAGGGAAGGCTAAGAAGAAGTGATGACTACAGGTAATCTAGGATCCTGGAATTAGAAACCAGACATTGGGGGAGAACTAGTGAAATACAAATAACGTCTGGAGTTTAGTGAATAGTAACATTAATGAGTTCCCAAGTTGCGTCAAAGGTAACACAGCCATGTAAGATGTGATCAGCACCAGGGCAAACTGGGGGAGTGTCTTCACATCTTTTTCCTAGTCTAAAAGCATTCTGACCCTAGCCGATTTGGCTCAGTGGAGAGAATGTCAGCCTGTGGACTGAAGGGTCCTGGATTCGATTCTGGTCAGGGGCACATGCCTGAGATGTGGGCCTGATACCCAATAGGGGATGTGAAATAGGCTGCCAATCCATGATTCTCTCTCATTATTGATGTTTCTATCTCTTTCTCCTCTCCTTTCCTCTCTGAAATCAATAAAAATAGGTTTTAAAATATATAAAAATAAATAAGTAAATAAAAGCATTCTGAAGTAAACACCAACCACAACACAATGATGATGGGGATGTGTTAAAACCAACTGGAAGGGCCTCCCCAGGCCAAATGAGGGACAATTTAAGGAACAAAATAAATAATAATAATGTCCATTCTGGATAGAGCCCACTGTGTTAGAAAGAGAATTCTACTGCCTGGTACCTCCCACAGTAATAATCATTTCAGGTGAGACTGAACTGATGGATGCTAAAATTACTGGGAAAGTATGATGACAAATAGGATATCATATGGTTTCTAAGTGCCTTCCCACATGATACTTTTGGATTATAAAGGAAAACTCTTAGGTTTACAACTGGAGGGGAAAATGGCAGGCACCACATAACCAAGATCAAATTACCTTTCTCTTGTGCCTTTTGACATGAGGTTCCCAAAAGAACAAGGCATCCCTCTTAGGGGATTCTTGCCAGAAATAGGCACATCACACACAATCTGAGGAATAGCTTGACCAGGATACAAGTGGAAAGATCATGAAGGACACAGATGGAGTAGCAAGCTGTCACAGAGATGTGACAACAAAATGCAAAGTGGGATTCAGGACCAGAAAAAGGTTATACGGGGAAATAGACATTTGAGTAAGGTCTCTAGGTTCATTAATAGTATTAAGTAATTGTTCTCTTCATAGTGTTAACTGTCCTGGTGTAAGATTTGGAAGGCCAGATGTATAGGAATTCTTTACAACAATTTTGCAATTATTATAATTTTAAAATAATTTTAAAATGGGAAGGTAAAAATAAACAACCCAGGTTGCAGAACAGCACATTAAAAAAAGCTGTGTGAAGATGAAATTACACCTTGGGGAAACAAACAGGGGACTTCAGCCACTGCAGGGCTGGGAGACATTGCACAGGCTAGTGCAGTGGGAAGCTGAGAAGCAAGTTGGATCTGACCACAAGGGAGGAGGAGGCAAGGCCATCTGCTAGCCTGGGATATCTTCCTACACTGCAAAGAGTCCTCTCCACAAAGACTGCAAAGGCTGCCTATTTAATATCACCACGTGGAAAGGAAGGCAAAAAGAAGAAATAAATTTCTCCAAGTTAAATTCTTGTGGGGTTTTGAGATAGCCACAATGAGTGCGTGACCTTTGAAGGTCTGGCCTTCTTAAAGGAAGGAAGACATTAGCATTCAGCTTCCCATTTTTCCTTTCATTCACGGATCTGATGATGACATGGTCCTCACTTAGTGCTGGCCCAAAGTTAAGGGGGTTCCCCTCCATCCAGGGCTAGGCCAAGTATATACATAGGCCTGGCAACATCAGAGCAGACAATCCCCCAGGCCTGTAACTGCACTGGTGCCTGACATGTGCCCGGAGCTGGGTCCATGAGAGGGGGCCCTGGGAGTTTTGCAAACATGCTGGGGAAGTTGAAACATTTTGTGACCCAGGCTGAATTGAAAAGAGGGCTGCCTAGAGTGGCTGATGGAATCACGGACCCAGAGAGGTGTCTTCAAGGAGGAGGAGGCCAGTGGCACATAGGAGTGCTGAGAACCTCCTCAGGATGCTGTCTGGGTACCCAGGTCTCACTACACCTGAGCATCTATATCACCAGGGCTGGGATGGGACTCACAGGGCTCCAGGGTCACCAGCAGGGGGTGGAAACAGTGTTTGCTCAAATGGCTCCACTCTATAATTTTCTACCAGGTATGTACCTGCAACCAAGGTCCATGCCCTTGCCCGGAATTGAACCCAGGACCCTTCAGTCCGCAGACCGACGCTCTATCCACTGAGCCACACCGGTTTCGGCTCCACTCTAACCTTCTAACATGAGGATCCTTAGGTCCTGTGACTCACCACCCTTGTATGGAATTTGCTGGTTGTAGGCTTGAAGAGAACCTTAAGTTCCAGTGAGAGCTGCCCCAATTCAGACAATGAATAAACAGTCACCTGCCCCTTTCCGATCTTGCCCTTGAGCCATAGGCAGGCTGTTATGGGCTGAGTTGTGTCACCCTAATATCCCTATGTTGAAATCCTCAACCCCAAAACCTCAGAATGTGACTGTATTTGGAGAAAGGATTTCTAAAGAGGTAATGAAGTTAAAATAAGGTTATTAGGATGGACCCTAATGCAATGACTGGTATCTTTAGAAGTAGAGGAAATTAGGATATAGACAACACAGACAGAAGACTATTTGAAGAGATAGGGAGAAGATGACCACCTACAAGGCTAAGAGAGAGGCCTCAGAAGAAACCAATTCTGCTGATGCCTTGTTCTCAGACTTTCGGCCTCCCGGAAAGTAACACCTGTTGTTTAAGCCATAAGGCTGTGGTACTTTATTAGGAAAGACCCAGTAAACTCACACACTGAATGAGGATGGGTGTCACTGAAGCAGGGCAATGGGGTTACTTGCACTGGACACTCCTGGACCTCCAGGGTTGGGTGCACTTACGAGAGAGGTACAATGATGAGAAAGGGCCCATTGATGCGCTTGTGCTCCATGAGGTACGTGATGAGTGCAATAGTCTGGATGGTCTTTCCCAGGCCCATTTCATCGGCCAGGATGCCATTCAGGTTGTTGTTGTATAGGGACACCAGCCACTCCAAACCCTTGATCTGCAAGGAGAGAGGCAGTCAACACTGAAGCCCACACTTCAGAGAATCGAGCACAACAAAAAACAAGTTCAGCCCTAGCCACGAACTGCCCACAGCCATCTTTATTTAGAGTTTTGCTCTCCATCACTCCACTCCTTTTGTCCTTAGCCTCATCCTCAGCAATCATTCCTATGAAATCATAGGGCTGCTGTGTTAATAATATATGTACAGTATACAAAACTTATTTTTCAGATGAACATTTGACTAAAATTACAAGATCCGTCTGCCACTGCCTGACATCAAGCCATGTGGTACACTGGGACAAACCTGCCCACAATCGTGTGACACTCAATTTGGGAGATTATTAGGGCTTCAGGGGAACATGCTGATGAATCTGCCATACGGCCAATGACTCCCTAACTAGCATGTCAAGATTAACTGAGAGTTTTCCAAAACTTGCAAGTTTCTGCATATAGGAACCGTTAAAGAGAAGACCGTTTTCAAATGGAATATGTCATAAAGAGAAATCTGTAAATTTTCCTAACGGATTAAGGAAGTAACTTCTGGGCAGTGGAAATGTCACTGGTCATTGGCTTTGCCTCTTTGGAACTCGATACTGGCATGGAGGCTGTGAGAGTTCAAGAAAAGTTGAAGTATAAGGGCCACAAGCAAACAGAAAATCTTTGATTAAATATAAACCAGCTGCCTTTTGGGAGCTTATAAATGAGCTTGGGATATGGGGCCACAGAAAAAGAAATTTCTACTATGACAGCTGTAATTCTTGTCTGTTCCAGGAGGGGCCTGATGAAGAGGTTTATTGCCAGTGCTATGTCACCTCCACAGAAGGCTAAATGCCGGAAAGGCTAGATCCCGGGCTGCCAGCTCGACATTTATGCCATCACTCCTCGCTATCCTATACTGTACAAAACATCAGGGAACATGGACTTGTGTCTAAACCTGGGTCCGGTACTGGTTTGACCACTCCCAGCTGTAAGTTTAAGAAATCACTGCACCTTTCTGTTCCTCAGGTGCACACATCCCTAATCCTGTGAAGTGTGGAGGATGATAGTGCCTATTTCAGAGTTGTTGGGGGATTCAGAAGCTAACAGCATAAAACATGCTGCTATCCTGCCCTGCACAGATCAAGCACCCGGCAAACATTAATATATTACACCGTTTCATTTCCTCCTGATGGCTGACCTAACAGATCATGCTTCTACTTCACAGAAGGGGAAACTGAGGCTTAGAGAGAAAGAGTGAGGTACCCAGAGACAAGGAGTAGAATGTGAACTTCAGTCTGCCGTCTTTAGCAGCCTCCCACAAGCGGGGAACCTATGTGTCAAGACTGCTATGTAAGTACAGCCCCCGCCTGCCTCACCTGGTACTGTTTGAGGACGCCGTTGACCATAAGCGCTGACTGTTTATCCACTCTCTCGGTGACAGCATGAGCCACGGCATAATAGGACTGCAGGCCACGAGCAAGGGCCTGGGACACACCGTACTCATCATCAACATCTTGCTTGGCATTCCTGTAAGTAAATAGAAACACTGAGTAAAGACACACATTTCTATTTGTAACAATGTACTTCTGACACAACACTGTTTAGCAGCTCTTTCTGTCTGAGGACCTGTGACTCAAGCCTAAAATATGAAAAGTGACTGGAAAGTCTAAGGACAGGTAAGGCAGCAAATACTAATCCAGGGAAGGGGGGGGGGGGGCGAGAGAGGAGACAGGCACTAAGATTGAACTCCCATTTGTGGTATCACAGTGGCTTCCAGCTAGACAATGGTAAGCACCATCCAGGGAGAAGCTGGGAAGCTTACGTCCTGCCAGGACCCCCATGAAGGAAGCTGGTGGAGTAGGAGCGTGTGTAGGAATGCCTTACTCAATGATGTGTCGAGCATCCACCTCAGAGACGTCATCACTATCTGGATCTGGAATCTTCTTCTTCTCCTCCACAGGCAGGGTGGGAGGCTGTGCTGGCTGCGGCTGCTCCTCCTCTTCCTCCTACCAAGAGAAAAGACTGCATTAGCTCAAGACACCCCACAGGGACAGGCACAGGGATCCCAGAGGAGAACACATTTTTAGAAGAATCCCAAGTTTTACAACCCTCACACCTTCTTATCCCGGAATGTGTCATGCCTCCTCTTTGCATCTTCTTTTAATTGCTCAGCATATTATTTTTAGTTTTCCCAGCACAGAGTTCAGATACTTCTTTTTAAGGCTATCTCAGGGTACTTTGTATTTTTGTTTACTAACAGAATCTTCATGTCCCCTGCCCCCATTATACAATGTATACTATACATTTATTCCTTGTCCAACCTATTCCACCAGATTTTCACTGTAATCTCTTCGAGTTTCTCAAAATAAAACATTTAATAAACAATTTTCAATATTTGTTGCTTTTGATTTACTTCTAGGTTTATCAATATGGCTAAAATGCCTAAAATATGACAAATAATACTGGTGATAACAGGCATCCTAATTTAGTAAGAGGTTTTCAATAAACTTATAAACTTATAAATTAAGTGTTGTGTTTCATGAAAGTGATTTTTCAGCATTCAGATGATAAAGGAATTTTGCATAACATATTAATAAAATACACAGGAACATATTTCCTGGTAGTAAACCATTCTTATATTTCTATAAGTGACACAAAGTCCCAGTAATTATTTTCATGTATAATGGAACTGCTATAAAACAAAAAAACCCTCAAAAACCTAAAAATCCAATTAATCTGCTAAAAATTCCAATAAAAAATCTAGTGGGATTTCTTTTGGGGTGTGCAAAATGATTTTATTGATCATTTGAAATATTAAACAGTTGATAGCAGCACAAATATTTTTGGTAAAAAAAAAAAAAATCAAAACTGGTACAAATTTACCCTAACTGATATTACATATCAGAAATTAATATTGGGGTGAGACTTTTGGTTAAGTCTGAGTGAGGTTGTTGTAGACAAATTCTCTCTTCTAAAAGATTTCAGCCCGGCTGGTGTGACTCAGTGGTTGAGTATCAACCTATGAACCATGAGGTCATGTTTCGATTCCCTGGTCAGGATACATGCCCAGGTTTCAGGCTCGATCCCCATTAGAAGGCAGTCGATCAATGATTTTTCCCTCATCATTGATGTTTCTATCTCTCTCCATCTCCTTTCCTCTCTGAAATTTTATATATATAAAAATATATATATGAGTGTGTGTTGTGTGTATTTTTGATAAGAAACTATTATAAGTAACCCTTTACCAACAAATAACTAAGATGAAATGGACAAACTCCTAGAAAGATACAAACTATTAAAACTGACTCAAGAAGTAGACAAATCTAAATAAAATCTGACAGCTAGTTGAATTAGTAACTAAAAATCTTCTCATAATGAAAAGGCCAGTCCCAGATGGCTTAACAGGAGAATTCTATCAAATATTTTAAGATTAATAAATTTCTTCTCAAACTCTTCCAGAAAGTAGAGAAGGGAACATTTTCTAAGCCCATCTAGAAGGCCAACGTTAGCCTAATATCAAAGCCACACAAAGATATCTAGAGAAAACTACTCAAAAATCCTCAACAAAATATTAGCTATAATATACAGAAAAGATTGCACATCAGGACAAAGTAGAACTTATCCCAGGAATGCAAGTTTGGTTTAATACCCCAAAATTAATTTATATAATAAAGCATCCTAGTGGGGAACAGAGAAAAAAAAAACAATCAACTATAGACAGAATTATAAAAACTTTCAATAAACTAGGATTAAAAGATAATTTACTCAACCTGATAAAGAGCATGTGCAAAAAACCTACAGCTAATACCAAAAAGCAGTGACAGACAAAATGCATTATCCCTAAAATCAAAAAAAAGGCAAAGATGTCTGCTCTTGACACATATACAACACTGTACTGGAGAATCTAGCCAGTGCAATATGGCAAGAAAAAAGAAATTGAAAGCATAAAGACAGGAAGCTTCAGAAATAGTAAAATTGCCATATTTACAGATGGCATGATCCTGTATGTAAAAATTCTAAATAATCCTATATAGTAATCCTATATAATAAAGGGATAATATGCAAATCGATCACACTGTGGAACGACCGATTGCTAGGATGCACACTGACCACCAGGGGGCAGATGCTCAATAGGGGAGTGTCACTCAACCAGAAGCAGGGCTCACACTGGCAAGCGCAGTAGTGTTTGTGGGAACCTCTATGGCCTTCGCTGCAGTCAGACATCCCCCAAGGGCTTCCAGACTGCAAGAGGGTGCAGGGCAGGCTGAGGGATCCCCTCAAGTGTATGAATTTCAAACACTGGGCCTCTAATCTACAATAACAATAAAACTATCAGAAATAACAATATGAGTTTAGCAAGTTCATAGGCAACAAGATCAATATTTTAAAACGTGCCGAAACCGGTTTGGCTCAATGGATAGAGCGTCGGCTTGGGGACTGAAGGGTCCCGGGTTCGATTCCGGTCAAGGGCATGTACCTTGGTTGTGGGCATATCCCCAGTAGGGGGTGTGCAAGAGGCAGCTGATTGATGACTCACTCTCATTGATGTTTCTCACTCTCTATCTCTCTCCCTTACTCTCTGTACAAAATCAATATATTAAAAAATATATATATTTTAAAACGTTACTTGAAAGCCTGTTAAGATCCTCTCAACCCAGCTGAAGGGAGAGTGAAGATCACCTTTGCTGGATGCTAACTGTGTGCAAGGAACACTGCCTACAGAAACTGCATCCTAACTTCCTCTGAGTTATCCTTCTCAAGGAGGTGATTCACAACAGATAGAGGAACAGGCCTTTAATCAGAGCTTTGTCAACCAGGGAAAATCTAGAAGTCACTTTTAGCATGGAATAATTAAGTGATTTAAAGACTATGCATAAGCCGGCTGTGATGGCTCAGTGAATTGAGGATTATCTCATGAACCACAAGATCCCAGGTTCAATTACCAGTCAGGGCATATGCCTGAGTTGTGGACTCAATCCCCAGTAGGGGGCATGCAGGAGATAGCTAATTAATGACTCTCTTTCATCATTGATGTTTCTATCTCTCTACCCCTCTCCCTTCCTCTCTGAAATCAATAAAAATATATTTTTAAAAAGAATAAAGAACATGCATAAAAATGTAACCATTTACAGTATTTCCAATAAAGAGATTATAGTAAGTAAACATGCACGATTTAGTGCTCACAACTTTATAGTGATTATTTTTTTGTGCAGCCTGTTGAGCATTTGAAAAGTGGCTAATATGACCAAGAATGTGAGTTTTAAATTCTACTTAATTTGATTAATTTAATTTAAAAATAAAACAGTTATGTGTGGCTAGATGCTACTGTACTGGACAGCACAGCTCTAAAGCACCAACTTTTCATCAGGACTGAGGCCTTGGCTACCCTCTGCCTATCTCTTGTCCCACCTGCCCAAGCAGAGTGGGAGAGTCACAGCATGCAGGGGTGACTGATACACAAGGGAGGCAGGTCACCACTATAGAGCACCAAGGGCCTTGACAGAAGGAAATGGACTCTTACCTCTTCCTCTTCTTCTGAGCCACTTTCTTCACTATCAGATCTTGGAGCTACTTCATACCTAGAAAAAATATTAGTGTTTTATTATAAATCTCCCCCAAACCAGCATAATTCATTTACCTTAGCAAATTGGCTTGTTTCCAAATCAAGCAAAATCACTGCCAGCTGCCAACCAGCTGACTCAGGATCCTGGTTACATCTGGAACTCAAGGCCCAACTCACCCTGGGTTCATCTCAAGCCAGGCCTCCAGCTGCCCTGCTTTGGGGGCATCCGTGCCTGTGAGGATCTTTCCACTCTCCACATGGATCACTTTCACAGGCAGGTCACTCATTTGGCTGGTCTCGTCCAGAGGCTGAAAAAGATTCACATGTGTGACTTTAGGTTCTGTAGTGACCATGCCTCAGATGTTCACTAACCATGGCCAACTGGGAAGTGCCCTGACAACTCTACAACCAAAACATGGCACACAACTAATGATGGCCAGTGGGTTTCCTACATATCAATAATTCAAGAGAAAATATAATCCGTTGATAACAGCAGTTTCTTTGAGATAACTGACATACATGTTTTTATTTTCAAATAGGTAATAGAGTCACATAGTTTAAAATTCAAGAATGTAGAGTATGGATTCTCCCCATCCCCTGCCCCTCAGCCTGGCAGTTTCTCTTTTCATAGATGCCCACCAGTATCAGTTTTCCATGCATCCTTACCGATCAATTCCATAAATAAGAAATTAGAACTGGTTTCTCCCCATTTTTACACAAATGACTATACTATTCACATTCTTCTGGCCCTTGACATTTTTTCTACTTGTAATATGTTTGTTACTTCATCAAGGGTCCTCATTTTTGTTGTTGTTAAATAGCTAATTGGAATATTTGAAAAATAAAACAACTAACTTCCTCTTAGCAACACATATGAAATTCCTTGATTTCTCATTCTGAGATATCAACATTGGATGAACATTTCCCCCTTCAAATTTCCTGAAGACTTCAGAATAAGGATGAAGTTCTTATTTTAAACCTTTGTTTGCATTGTTAAAATTAATAAACAAAAAATTGGATCAACTAAATTGGACACGATTAAACTATCTCTAAAACTGGCATCATGAAGGCCTATAGAGAAGCTCTCCTACCCTACCACTCAAAATCAATTACCTCAAACAGGAAGTCAATTACACATCCCAACAGGAAGAGACCTACGTTGTACTCCCAAACAGAAAATGCATCTATTGCACTACCACAGCAGGAGAAAAGCTTATCTCTTATACTGCAACAAGCCTAGCCAATTGAAAGCCAGCTAAACCAATGAGAAGCTGTCATCACCTGAACTCTTACTTTATTCCAATAAATTTTCATTTTTCTTTTGCTGACTTTCTTGATCCATCCTCGTTACCTTCCATCTTGTATAACAGCTCAGGATAGCTCTCTGTTTGCTAGATGAGATGCTACCTACCCAATTCATAAGTCATCGGATAAAACCAATTAGATCTTCAAATGTACTCAGTTAAATTTTGTTTATTAGCAGCATCTTCCAGGAACTTATATCCCTCCCTCCCTCCAAAGTTCTGCACTACCAACACCATCCATACAGTAGAGAGAGACTAGTTTCTGTGCATAATATAACCTCACCCTCAAAGTGGCCCACCATGGTGGGGGAGGGGTGACACCCAACTTAGGAGGCACAAACCCTCAATCAGTGACTTTCACCCTGAATGTTCCGTGCAGCATTTAATAGTGGTAATGTCTGCACCTGCCCACCCAAAAAAAAAATCTGATTCAACTGCTCTAGGGTTTTATAGAAGTTTCTCAGATGACACAGACACTGGGGGCTTGCCCAAGGTGGGAATGGCTAGAGGAGGGTGGATGGGGGAGGGGGTACTGTCAACTGGGGAAACAGGAGACATATGTAAAATTTTAGATAATGAAAAAAATAAAATAAAATAAAAAAGAAAGAAAAGTTTCCCAGGTGATTCAGATGTACAGCCAATGCTAAGAACCACTGGCTGAGAATAAGGACAATTCACAGCCACCACTGAATGATGCTTCTGTTACAAAACAGGCCAGGAAGAGAGCCCTTACCACGGACCAACTTGCTGCACCCTGATCTTGGATTTCCAGTCTCCATAACTGTGAGAACATAAATGTTTGTTATTTAAGCCATCCAGGCTATGGTGCTATGGTGTTTTGTTGCAGCCCAAGCTAAGACAGTATCAAAAGGTGATACAAAAGGAGGCTCACTACAACAATGCATGCAAAGGAAAAAAGGCAACGGAAATAGTCACCAAAAGAAGAGGAGGAAGAGTTGCTCAGTGCAGGATCTTTGTAACAGCTACAAATGGGAAGCAACCTAAAGAGCTAACAGTCTGAATGAAGAAACAGATTCTAACATGTCAACACAATAAAATAAAAATAGATCTAATGATGTGATATGGAAAGTGGCACAAGATATTTGGCTAAGTAGAAAAAGTCTAGCTAATGTCTAAATTGACCCAAATAGTCCCAAAATAAAGTAAAAAGGATACAAGCATAATGATTTCAGGAAGAATAGAGAAGATGTCACCAGGAATCAGTATGCATACCTAGGCTTCTACTTTTCATGTTATCATTTAAATTTTTTCTAGAGGAAGGGTTACATTTTAGAGAGGTTGGAAAGAATAGGCTAAATTAAAAATTGATCTGCCATTTGACCCAACAACCTTACTTATGGGACTATACCCTAAAAACCCCAAAATACCAATCAGAAAGAATATATGCACCCCTATGTTCATAGCAGTTATATGTAATAGCTAAGATCTGAAAATAGCCCAAGTGCCCACCAGTAGGTGAGTGGATAAACAAGTGATGGTATATTTATACAATGGAATACTATGCAGCTGTAAGAAAGAAGGATGAACCTGGAAACTATTATGTTAAGCCAAATAAGCCAGTTAGAGAAAGACAAATGTCACATGATTTCACTTATATGTCTAATGAAAAAAAAACTGATGAACAAAATAGGTCTTGAGGTATGTATACATGGAACAGAATAACAGATCTTAGTAGGGGGATGGAGGGTGGAGTGGGAGGGGACAGAAAGAGATTAATCAAAAACCATATATGTGTAACCCATGGATACAGACAATAGCATGGGGAAAGCTTGGGGTGGGAATTGGGGGTAAAAGGAAGAAAATGGGAGACATCTGTAATACTGTCAATAATAAAATTAAATTAAATTTTTAAAAGTAGAAAGAATATGGTAAGTGTCCATGAGCTAACATGGGGCGCTGTCTGAGATACAATGCTATATGAGAAAAAGAGAAGCTGCCCAGTTGCTCATGCATAGAAAAGGCCAGGAGCAAACACTACATTACTCATGGTTTCCCTTTGGGAAGTGGGACAAGGAGCTGAGGAGGTACCAAAAACACTTCTTATTTACACATCCCACTTTTATATATCTTTCTCCCAAATTAGTGTATTACTCAAAATAGCTGCTTTCAGGACGAGGGATGTTGTAGAAAGATGGGTGTGTAGGCACAACAATCCCTCTCTGAATGGGCCACTTTGTACGGTTCTGACTTTTGGAATAAGCTGGTGTTTCACACACTAAATAAATCAACAACGAGTAAATAAATAAAACCAACAAAGGTGGGGGAAACTACAGGGGCATGAGGGGAGAGCTAATCCAAGTAGCTTCTGTGCACAATATTTAGAGAACAGACTCTCAGAATGTAGAACTCCAAACACTAAAATATGTACACAGATAATAATTTAATAATAAAAATAATAATAAAATAAATAAATAAAGAACTCCAAACACACTGACCTCTAGCTAGGAGGCTCCTTGTATTTGTTTTTGGTTTTTTAAAAATTTTTATTGGAGTTTAATTTAGCCAAACTGTTAACACATGCCAGGGAGCAAAATCTCAAATACTCTAGAGGCTCCTTTTATTGGGGGGATGGGGGAGAGCACATTAGGAATTCTGAATGTACATACTGTATATCCTAGGATTGAGCAAACAGGACAGCATATCATGGTTAAAGGCAGCCAGATTTTTCTGTTTCAATGTGGAAAAGGAAAGGACAGAAATAACCCCATGGTATTGGATTAGAACTGGTGGTGTCAGTGTGATCTCAAGATTTGTTAACATTAGTATATAAAAATAGCAGTGCACATGTATACACACACATACACCTATTTCCTACATCTGTCTGCTGAGAGGACCTAGAAGCAATGACACCAGAAGCAATCAGCACTCCTAGATTTCGAATTTAAAATATTCTTCTTTGAGAAAAGGAATCAGGGCTCCTTAGAGCAATGGCTGACTGCAGGGGTCTGGCAGGGAAATCAGAAGGTAAGGTTACACCAAAATGGTATACAAAGAAGTCAGGAAGCCCCCAAAAGATGATAGGACCACATCAAAAGGACACAGAAACCAATGTGAAGGGGCTCCTACTGGCCCAACTGGAACAATTTGAGCATGAAAATAAATACTGCCCTGGCCAGGTAGCTCAGGTGGTTAGTGTCGTTCTGATAGGCCAAGGTCACACTCCAGTCATGGCACATATAAGAATTAACCACCCATCCGACCCACATGGATTAGTGGTTGAGCATTGTCCTATGAACCAGGAGGTCATGGTTCGATTCCCAGTCAGGGCACATGCCTGGGTTGCGGATTCGGTCCCCAGTGTAGTGCATGTTGGAGGCAGCTGATCAATTATTCTCTCATCATTGATGTTTCACTCTCTCTCTCCTTCTCCCTTCCTCTCGGAAATCAATACAATATATATATATTTTTTAGTCAAAACCGGTTTGGCTCAGTGGATAGAGCGTCAGCCTGCAGACGCTTGGTTTTGGGCACATCCCCCGTAGGACTTTCCTTCCTACAGAAAGTCAACTAAAAAATAGAAGCAGGCAAAGATAATCAATGGATGAAACAGTGAGTTAGAAGTATTTGGAGTTACAATATATGTAGTGTCCAGTACCTCCCACATGGTGTTTAATTACAAAAGGAAAGACAGTAAATTTACAGTGGGGTTGCCTTGTTCAACACCAAGAGATCAAGGATCAAGGTCACAGCACCAGTGGCAGAACAAATCTATGCACCCATTCCCAATGTGATGCCCCAAGAAGGATACAGTGTCACTTTAGTGTCTTCCTGCCAATACATATAACTTGACTTTAATCACAAGGAAACATCAGTCAAAGCCAAAGCCACTGTAGGAAATACCTGCCCTATATTCGTCTTCAAAAATACTAAGGTCAGCTGAAACAGGTTTGGCTCAATGGATAGAGCATCTGCCTGTGAACTGAAGGGCCCCAGGTTCGATTCTGGTCAAGGGCATGTACCTTGGTTGCGGGCACATCCCCAGTAGGGGGTGTGCAAGAGGCAGCTGATAGATGATTCTCTCTCATCAATGTTTCTAACTCTCTATCCCTCTCTCTTCCTCTCTGTAAAAAAAAATCAATAAAATATATTTTTTAAAAAATACCAAGGTCATAAAAGGCAAAGAAAAAGCAAGGAGCTGTTCAAGATCAATGACGAAAGGGACTACCATTGAGTGTGACATGTGAACTGGGGTTTTCTGTTGCTGTGAAGGACAACAGAGGGACAACTGGAGAAACGGTCATAATGGTTATCAATTATATCATAGTATTCTCCCCATGTTCCTGGGGAGAGTTTTTGATCACTGCACAATTATGGAAACATATTATCTTGTTTTTAAGACATACACACTGAAGCAAGTGGAGGAAAAGGGCCACGATGTCTGCATGTGATGCTCAAATGGTTTAGGAAAAAATGATGATAGTGAAAACAGGGAGTATGGGTGAAGAGTGCACTTTTCTGTACTGTTCTTACACCTCACAGGAGTCTAAAATTACATGAAAAAAAAATGAAAAGTAAATAATGTGGCACATGCATAGAAAAGGTCTGGGAGAAAACACCTAATAGTTAACCATGTTTCTTTCCTCTGGGCAGTGCGATCAAAGAATAGATGGGATGGTGGCAGGGGACAGATATAGATTTTTATCATCATCATATTCAGCTTTTACAGTTTAAAAAGAAAAAAAAAGTTGGTTGGGATGTTGTCTTATACACTGGAAGATGGTGGATTCGATTCCGGTCAGGGCACATACCCAGGTTGTGTGTTCAATCCCTGCTCGGGATGCATGAGGAAGGCAACCAATCAATGTTTCTATCAATGTTTCTTCCTTCCCTTCCTTCCCTTTCCTTCCTTCCCTTTCCTTCCTTCCCTTTCCTTCCTTCCCTTCCCTTTCCTTCCTTCCTTCCTTCCTTCCTTCCTTCCTTCCTTCCTTCCTTCCTTCCTTCCTTCCTTCCTTCCTTCCTTCCTTCCTTCCTTTGTGTGTGTTTTCAACCCACTATTCCTCCTTCTGAGATCAATTTAAAGAAAGAAAAAGAAAAGAATGAAATAGACCCAAGGTCCAGTGCTAGGTTGACATTTCCACAAAAAATATACACCAAAAACCTGGTTCCTCACCTCGCCATCAGGTCCTATTGCAGGTGTCTGTCCTTCTGCATTTTCTGCCTTCTGGAAATAGAGAGAGATACAGTCACTCCCTCACAGGGATACTTAGGCAGCACAGGCCAAGAATGCCACTCCAGTCCCAGCATACCTTCTTTTTCTTCTTCTTCTTTTTCTCCTTGGCAACCTGGGCTGCCTTGTGCTGCCGCACCAGCTCCGTGAGGTTAGCCACGTACTCGTCTGTCTGTTGCAAGAGGTAGGCCAAGCGCTTGTCCTTCTTCTGGTCAATGAGTTTCCGGTACCCTTCCTCATCTTCTGCCTGCAAAAGCATGCAGTTATGGCATTTGCCTGCAAGACATGCTTGTCCATTAGCCACCAAGACAGGCAAATCACAGTCGAGAAGTCCACTGGGAATTATTGTTAACAAACAATCAGGCCCACATTATGGGACTCTTAGTCACCCCCTGCGTTGTGCTGTATGTAGGCCTTTCACATATAACTATTGTCTCTCCCTTTAGTATTTCCCCAACTTTTACCCAGAGGTAGGCTCTGTAAGGACCTAGCTGCACAGACATAATCCTACCCAGAGTTATTTGTAAAGGCCAATATCAAGTTCTGTGCCATCTGTTCACAAACATACCCCAAATCGAAGTCCTTTTCTCTCCCTGGTCTAAGCAATCTCTCTCCCTCGAGGCTTTCTAAGAATATATCATATCACATCACTACCCAGCTTATAGCCTTCATGACTCCCCATCATGTTCAGAATGAAACCCAAAGCCCTCCCTATGGCCTGCAAGGCCCCAAATGACCTGCCCTTGCAACTCTGACTTCACTCCTCCATTGCACCATTCCGTTGTAGGGGTCACTTGCTGTGCCTTGCAACTGGCTTTTCCTTACCTTGGGCCCTTGACCTTGGTTCCTCAAGCCCTAGGAGGCACTTCTTCCAGGTTTCTGCTTACCCTTTCAGTACCATCCTGTCAATCCCATATGTTCATTCTCTTTAGTGCACTTTCCACCACTCAAAACTGTTTCACTTGGGCAATTATCTTCCTTGGGTAAGCACAAGCCCCTTGAGGACAGGGTTTTGTCCTTCTCTTTACTTCTGTGGCCTCTGTCCAGACAGTAATGCCTATCAATACCTACCCAATTAGAAAATCACCCAGGAATAAATGGTCAGAAACACAAGGTGGGGATGGGGGACCAGATCACACCACTGATGACTCACAGCCAGGAGGGGCTGCCACCTTCATTTTCTGGTGGACATAAAGCAGTCAGTTAACTGGCTAAGGTCATGCAGGCACTCTAATGGCTGGTGTGACTGGACAAAGGTCTGAGGCCAGTTCTTTCAGATTCTCAAACCCAAATCCTTCCACTTCTAACTCTGAGAAGCAAAATGCCTCAGTGAAATACAGGATGATGGATTCCTGGTCCCTGCAACACCCAGTACACAAACAAAGGGATACACAGTTACAAATGCAGAATTTTACCATGAGCCTCCGCATTCTCTCCTTCTCGATTCTTTCATTTTCCTTCTTCTGTTCCCGCTCTGTGTTGGCGTGGTACGTGGCCACTGCCTTTGTAAGTTTTTGAATTTTGCCTGTGACAGATCGGTGATATTCTTTGAAATCCTTGGCATGCTGAAGAATGCTGTTGAGGTATTCCTACAAGGACACACAAGTCAAGACTGACTACTGTAACACTCCTTGTAATAAAACTTTAAAGGCAGCTTGTTTAAAACCAAGAGGACATAATCAGACAATACTATAACATTGTTTGCCTACGAGATTCCGAGGTTCCATGTTCTCTGTGTAAGGATAAAACTCAATGCTGGAGGGTGGTTGGAAGGGCCCTTCTTTGTATACAACAGACAGACAATCAACCTTGCTAAGACAAGCTGACAAGAACATTAACTGATTCAAAATGCTCACGCCCTCCAACCAAGTTATTCCATTGCTAGGAATTTTATTTTAAGGAAGTAGTAGAGATTGTCCAAAAAAATTCAAGGACAAAAATGTTTATTACAGTCCTGGCCAGGTTGGATGGAGCATCATCCTGTACACCAAAAGGTTGTGGGTTCAATTCCCAGTCAGGGCATATATAGAAGGCAACCGATTTATGTTCTCTCACATCAATGTTGTTTTTTTTTCTCTCTCTCCCTTTCTCTCTCTCAAATCAATAAAAACATATCCTCAGATTAGGATTAAAAAAAAAAGAACAATGCCTAGCTCAGTGTTTGATTACTTATGTATACAGAATAAGGCTGGAAAGATATATATACACTGAATATTGACTTTTTCTATTATTTTGAACTGCACCAGTAATAGACAATGACTGGAGAAACTTTAGAAAATATAATGAGTGAACAACAAACCTAACCTAGATCAATCCCTCCTCTAAGAGACTCCATAGCTTCCACCTCACTCAGAGCAATAGTGCAACTTGCTCCTTGCCTCACAAGGCCCAGCACCGTTCTGTCCTTACCTCCTCCTACTCTCCCCTTGCTCCACTCTGATAGCACAGAGATCCCTGCTTTTTATAGAACACACAGTGTGTATCAGCCCCAGGGCGTTCGCACCTCCCTGTCTATCTGGAAAGCTCTTGCCCACATAGCCATAGGGCTTCCTTCCCTCGGATCTCACCTCCTCAGAAAAAAACTTAACCAACCATTCTGTGTCAACAGCTCCCCAATACTGCTTCATGTTTCTTTATATCTTATCTCCTCCCAATATTTTACATCCTTGATTGTAGCCCACTCAATTTCTCCCTACCACTCAATTTTGTTCAAGAATGTATTCTTGGTGCCTTAACTAGTGTTATCACAAACAGAAAAGAGAAACAGCATGTTTAGACACAAAACAAAACAAGACTCAACAATGTGGGAGCTGTGAGGACCCAGCTACACTGGAGGGCCAGCAGGACAAGCTATGCAGCAGCGGGGGGCGCACCTGGTGCTTCTGCCGGCGCTTGCGCTCCTGCTCAATCTTCTGCTGCTTCTCCAGCTTCTCTGTGATGCGGGCCTCACGCAGGGACTGCCGCTTGCTTCGCTTGTAGGCCTTGGCATTGAGGGCTGTCTCAAGGGCCGTGTCCCTCCTCATGCACACCACCACTTCCTGCCGCAGCTTCAGGAAGAGGAGAAACATAGGCACACGTTGGTCATGTCCACACAAAATGCACAATTACACAGTGCAAGCTAGGCAGAACACTGCTGCCTCCAGAAGGGTCCTTGCAAAATCCTATAAGCACAAATGTGTGTGCCTGTGGAGGGCATCTGATAATTGCCCAAGGTCTGGAGAGGCAAATACAGATCAGGAGACAGCTGCTTCTGGACACCCAGCAGGTCTATAGCTCTGCCTTCCCTCAAGCACACACAAAATATTTCTTATGGCTCATTCAAAAGTACAGCCCCCTCAGATATAAATCCATTTAAGTTTCCTGTTTCACTGTCTTAGGGAAACATGCTTACTCACCCCCAGAAATACCCCATGTGCCACCTCATGAAGAGAAAAGAGGGTACAATGAGCTAAGTGTGGGTGGACACTGCTGCTTTCAATGGTCAAGGGACATTTATTTAATAATTGCTCAGCAAGTAATTACTTGAATCTAAGCATCAGCGTTGGCAGAAAAGGCCTGTGCCTGCACCTACCTGCCTCTGGAAGTTCAGCAGCCTGAGGGCCTTGAGCTCGATAGTTGCTTTGGTTCGCAAATCCCCGGCCAGTGACCCAGGTAGGTTTTCAAGTTCCTGAATTCGGTGAGCGATACGAGCCTGAAGCCTGGGTGCAAAGACAGAAAAAAGGACAGACAATGAGAGTACTGCTTTCAAGGAGCCCACCTATGCCCTTTCTTTAAAGCAGGAGCCTCAGAAGAATCCATCCTCTGGGGGAGGCAGATGGCTCAGAAAAGGATACCAGCCACAAAACACAGAAGAAGGCAGCCAGAGGACTCAGAGCTACAGCAAACAGGAAACTGGATAGGGCACAGCCGACTTAAGGCATTTCAGCAGGGTGCCAGCCTCTGGAGTCAGGCAGGCTAGGCTCTCCCTCCTAGCCCTGGGAATCTACTTAGCCTGGAAGCCTTATCAGAAATATGGGCCATAAAGGAATTAAAAAATTAAACATCCATGGCCCTGGCCAATGGTGCTCAGTGGTTAGAACGCAGGCCCGCACCAAAAGATAGTGGGTTTAATTCCCAGTCAAAAGCACATACCTGGATTGCAGGTTTAGTTTCTGACCCAGTTGTGGCTTGTGCAAGAGGCAACCAATTGATGTGTCTCCCTCACATCGATGTTTCTGTTTATCCATCTCTCTCTCTCTCTCTCTCCTCCCTCCCTCCTCCACATTCTCTAAGAATCAATGGAAAAAATATTTAAACATTACTTTAAGGAGGCTAGAGGTGAGGGAGTAGGCAGGACCTCTATGAGGAAGTGGCCTTAGTAATGAGGTCTAAGTGAGCACAAGGAGTCATGTACCACCAAGCAAAGGCCCTAGGCAGAAATAAGCCTAACTTGTTGAATAAACAAATTGGAACAAGGAAAATAAGATAGGCAGGGACAGAGCATGAGACAGGGACTGAACAGAAGGGAGTTTACTGAACAGAATGGCAGGGTTTAACCTGGGGAATAGAATCTAGTGTAAATAAATTGTAAAAAGAGACTTCCAACTGCTGTGTGGGAAACAGGCAAGAAGGGAGGCCCCAGGCAGGAGTAGACAGGTGGCAGTTAACAGTGCGGGGGGAGAACCATGTCTGGGGAGGGGTCATGCACTACCTATGCAAGGGGGGATGAGAAAGGGACTGCAGTGTCTGTGGCCCAATGAGCTGCTGGATAGCGGGTATATGGGAGCAGAGACAGGAGGGAAAGACAGGGAAACATGAAGATATCTGGATAGGTCATTTTCAAGCTACAGGGGAGGCACATGGCTCCAAGGCATGTCACAGCTGAGATGTACTTTAGAGATGGTCATTAGGCAAAGAATTACTGATGCCTCTGGGAATATACAGTGAACAAGGCACAGCCTCTCCCTCATGGAGCTTACACTCAACAAGGTGAACAAGTTATAAATGCAATGAGGAAATGGGAAGTGCAAGATGCTCAAGGAGTGAATCTCAGGTGCCCCCAGAAGTGTGGGATGAAATATCACAGACCTACGGTGTGTTAGACATCCCACATGGTGCCCAGGAGGCCTTGGCAAAGGGGCCAGCAACTAGTAAGAAGGATCCACTGAGAGCTTTCAGGGTTTCTTTTTTAGTGTGATGAACCAAAAGTTGGATACACTATTTTGGTGAGGAGGAACACATACTTTTACTCCAACATATATCTGTATGATCTCGGTGGAGGGCACCTTTGCAGAATCTACAAAATTCCCGTGCACGGTCCCTGTACCCATTAATGCCACTTCCAGGGACTTATTCTGACACATGTATAAACATGTGAACTTAAAAACAAATACAGAAGTGCATTTACTAAGACATTGTCTTAATGCCGGATTAGAAATAACTTAATGTGCACTCAGCCAGGGGACTGGCTGAATAAACATGTTATCTTCACTGAACAACATGAAAAAATAAAAGCTCCTTTTGGACAAACAGGGGACTATGTCTACACTATGTCATTTTGGAAGGAACAATGAATACTTCATGAACCTCTTGAGGACAATATGGCTACCTGTGCCTATCTGCTTGCATATGCACACAATTCTTCAGAAGGATACACGCCAACTGGGGAGCTGGGAACCTAGAGAGAAAGGCATAGGGTGATTTCTGGTTGCATATCCTATTGGCCTTTGGAATTGGAAACCACATCAAAGTGTGTCAGGGACGACGTGGTTGGGGGTGACCTGAAGCGGCAGCAGCGCCCTCACCTGTACTCCCGCTCCTGCAGAATCTCCACAGGGTCCAGGCCCCGGGGTTTCTGGATGGGGGTGATGCGGCTCTGCTTCTGGTGTAGCGGTACCATGGGGGCAGGCTGAGCTGGCTGCCCTGGCGACTGCGTCTGGGGCGGCATCACAGGAGACGCAGCGGGCGGGACGGCAGGGGGTGCCGGTGAGGGACGGCCTGTAGGCTGAGGGGGTATCAGCTTCTGAGGTGTGCTTGTGGGGGCAGCAGCATTCGCCATAGGTCCTGGGGAGAGTCAAGTAGCAGGAGCACAGCATTGAGCTTCAGGTCAATTCCAAGTGAAAATAAAAAGCCTGCATGGTGCTCACTGTCCCAGTGACAGACAACTGTCTGGGCCACACCTCCCCATCTCCCGCCTCTCACTGAACTGGCATGGCAGGCAGCTTCTCACTCAGGGGTCTTCTCTCTCCTGCCTCAGAGTTCAAGCCTCTTCCAGATCTCAGCCTACCTGCCTTTCCCTGAAGCCCTGCACTGATTCAAGTGCCAACCCTGTGTTCGTTCTTCCTGGGCAGCATTTTCCTGACTTCCATCTACTACGGTTCAGGTGAAATCAGATTTAAGTGATTAGCTCGTCTATGCCCATCACTAAACCTCAGGCTCTAAGAGGATAGGAAACAAATCCATTTTGTCTACAGCTTTCATCCAACAGAAGTGACCCTCAAATCCTTGCTGACAACTACATTTGACAGAAGGAAGAGAAACTGAACATGGTGAGGAGACAGAGCCCTGAACCACCCTGTCATTTTGCTGGCCTCCATAGTGTTGGGGGGCATCCCAGGAGGGAAGGGACGTCAGCTATAACCTACAGGCGTGGAGGCACCAGGTCCTGAAGGGTCGTGTCTGTGGCTACAGCTGTGCCTCCCCACAGCCTCCCCCTGGAGTCACAGTGAACTTTTCATTTTGTATTCTTCTTATAACATTTTAAAGAGACCCCAGGGTCTCCATGATCCACAGGACAGAACAAGGGTGGGCAGAAATTGTGGAGTGAAATCAACCCAAGCCTTTAGAAAATAACCAGGGATCGGTAAGACACAAAGAAGACAGCAGGAAGGAGCGAGGACTTGTCCTTGGCCCTCTCTCTATCTGGACAGGCTCATCTCATGACATAAGTCAGGGCATAGGAATGTCACCAAGTCAGAGGGTACTCACCTTCAGGCCATGGCTTGGGGGGTCCTCCAGGGGGTTGGCCCGGCATACCGGGGGGCACACCTGAAGGTCCTGGGGGTGGCATATTAGGCCCTCCCATACCTACACACAGAGAAAAACAAACAATAGGATAAAATGTGTCCTCTGTTCATCCTACACCCACCCCCATGGGCAGCCCTGTCTCCAGGGGACACACCCAACAACAAGCCCCTTAGTGTGGGCATTAAGGGAAAGCAGGGAACTGGAAAAAGAACTTTTATCCTGATAACAGCTTTGCCTGCCCGCATGAGCACTAGACATCGTGCCAGCCCCAAGGGGGAAACTTGTGGGCAGCAGAGCCTAGGTATGCGTGACACTATTGCCCCCACGTGATCAGTTTGTTGAGACTCTCCCTCCCCCAAGGGCTGGAGATAGTGGGCCTTACCATGGGGCCTGCTGTAATTTGGAGGTGCTGGTCCTGGGCCTGGTCCAGGGCCTGGGCCAGGGCCAGGGCCAGGTCCTGCTGCAGACACAGAGGGTGGAGGTAGTGTTGGCACCTGCTGCTGCATCCCAGGCATCGGTCGCTTGCCCTGCACTGCCATCTGCAGGTGGTCAGGCAGGGGTTGCCCCCTGGCCAGCATCTTGTAGGCCATGATTTGAGCTCTGAGCTGATGCAATTGGTTCTGATTAAATGGTGTTGGACCCCGGTTCTGCTGCCCCAAAGACTGAGGGTCAGTGCCATCCAGCGGGGCTCCTCCTGGTCCAGACGACATTTGCGGGCCTGAGGATGGGCCACTAGCTGGAACCGGACTAGAGGCGTGCTCGGAGCCACCCAGTGGTGAGGGGTAACCTGCAGAAAACACAGATTCCAGAGGTCACTCGGGAGAATACATCCAGTGATTTTTAAGGCAAAGACAATAACCTTTTCACCAAGCTTACACTGGCACCTACCCTGAGACATGGCATGACCAAATTTTTTTCATTCTTGTATTCAAACAAGCGGCACCCAGAGGGTACTGACCAGCAGCCGGTGTGGTTGGTTTGGCCTACTGTCCAATAAGTTGCTGATGGTCATACTGAGAGGTTACACAGATACAGGCTTTCTCTGGACCTCCCATCCTGTCCCTCGCCCTGTCCAGGTCCCCTCTCCTCACTTCTCTGACCTGGGGAGCCCCTGACTTTCCTGCCCTATTGACAAGAGGTCAACTACTCTCACTTTTCAAAGTTCTGGAAAAGCCACTTGGAACCCTGGGTTGAACAGCTTGGGCCCCATTCCCAAGATTCTGACCGAGCTGGTCTGCAATGGACCCAAGAATCTGCATTTCTAATACACTCTTGGGTGACACCAGAGCTGCTAACCTGAGGAGCCTGCCCTGCCCAGCTGCCATCTCACACCCAGCACTAAACGCAGTTCGTTCCCATTGGTATTCACTCTCCTGGATAGAAAGCTCGAGCAGGGGACCAGCCAAACCTAAGCTCTACAGCCCTCTGTGGTAGGGTTTCCGCACTGCCCTTGTCCTCCCTGTCTACCCGTGGGAGACCTGATTAGGAAAATGACCTTGGGACTCCTGGGGGTGATAAACATGAGGAAAGAAGATAAAACAATACCTTGGGAGTGCTGGTCCATGGGGCTCGGTGGAGGCCCCATTCCTGCGTGGCCCCCTGTCCGCATCCCCATCCCCTTCATCTGGTTGTAGCGGGGGTCATCCGACATGCCCTTCTCATGCATAGATTCCATTGGCTGCAAGAGGGGGGTAATAACAAGGCAGGATCAGCAAGCGGGGACACGATGAGGTGGCCCAGCAAAGCACTGCCCAAGAATTCAATGTCACTGAAAACACTATGGCATTTACTGAATTGCCAACATGACCAAGCAGCTTAGGTCCAAGACATGATCCTGACAGCTACCTAGGTGTCAAGCAGATGCATAAAATAATACCAACCAATGGAGGGTGACTGCCTAGGAGACCAGTGGTTGAAGGGCAAGGGGACAATAAGGCTAGGGCACTCGGCAAGAACAGGAGACAGTTTCAGATGGCCAGAATCCCACAAGGAAATGAGAGACAGCTTCTGGTCAGGGGCAGTTTTAGCTAGGACTCAGGATTCTGTCATTGTCACAAGGAAACCTTGAGATCAGGGACCCTCTTCCTTGGGAGACTGTAAACCAGAGGGACAGACAGAAACTTCTGCCCATGAGTATGGTAACAATACATCACATGTCCTCAGTGATCGAATACCGGCCTCCTGCCTGCTAGCTGCAAGGGAGGCTATCTGCCAGGACCATGACACCTATTTTCCCTCCTAATGCTCAGCACGAACACTTCCCCTATGGAAATGGTTGTTAAAGGAGACCTTTTCTTAAGGACCCTTCCAGGGCACTCTTTAGGCCCTGGTGAATGCAAATGTCCTGCTTTCTGGGATCTTAACCTAATGGGTAACCCCCCATCACCTGCAGCTCACTATGTGTACAGTGAAGGGAGGCCAAGAGGGTGCCTGGCTGAGACAGGAGGGGCAGATGTCTACACAGGAAAAGGAAAGAGCACTGTTGGGAGGCTGACAGGAGCCCTGGGTGGGGCCTTTCCTCCACACCTCTTTCCTGGGATGGGCTTGTCTCCACACAGAGTGGGAGCTCTGTACAGATAGGAGGTGCCCACCACACACACACCAGCAGACCCCTGACAGAGGTTTGTAAATGTGCATGGAGTGTGCATTAACAGTTCCAGGAGGAAGGAACAAATGGGCAGTGAGGAAAAGAGGGGACTATGCTAAAGAAGCGGGCCTAAATTGGTGTTGTGTGTGGAGAGGGTAGTCACCAACAACTTCCCAGGAAGGCAGTGACAAGACAGATACTGTGCCAAAGTTGACAGAAATATACAGGCGATGGGGAGGCAGGGAGGGGTTCGCTTGGCTGTGCTTGGAGGTCACTGAGGTGGCACAAGCCTGGGGTGCAGGGAGCAGCAGAGGGATGAGATGATTCTACCACTAACTTGCTGAATGCCCATCTCTCTGAAACTCTGGTTCATGGTCTATGAAATGGGCTTAATACTCACCTATACCTGATGGGTGGGGGTGAGGGAATGGAATGGGGAGCAAATACATGAATAGCCCAGGTAGAGAGCCCAGAGGGGTTACCAAGGTCCCCTTGCCTGTGCATCTTCTACCTGCCGGCTTCCTGTGGTTTCTGAGGCTGAGGAATTTCACCCTTTCCTGCAGATGCTAATACATATAAGAGGACGGTTCCTTATTTCCTTCAACTACCTCTCAGGAACACAGAGAAAGAGGAAATATTTGTGTTGGGAAGTTTTTCATCTCATTAGCAAAAGCAGCTCTAATCGGGTCAGGTAAGTGGTGACCCAATGAGGACAACTGCCCTGCTCTATGGGTTACATGGGTACACAGAGCAACCAAATTGCAGGAGTCCACCTGCCTTCAGCTATCTTTTAAGGATTTGGACATTTTTATTCATTAATGAAAGGCAACTTAGAAATAATGTTACCACATTTTCTACCTAGAAAAACGGGGTGAGAGATACACAGGGGAAAGTTGGGGTGGGTTGGGGGGCGTTGCATGAAATGATGACTGCCAGCTCACACAGGGGCCAGGATGCATGGCTCACCCTACCGCCTCTGACCAAGTGAATCCAACCAGCCAGAGCAGTGGGCCCAGGGCTTCCTACCTTGTGCATCTGGTGCATGTTGTCCTGAGGGTACCCTCCAGGCCCCTGGCTTGGGATGGGGTGTCCTGCTGAGGGAGGTCCCGGACTGGGCCCCATCATGCTGTGGGCAGAGCCAGGGGAGGGACCTGGGCTAGGGCCCAACATGGCTCCAGGGGAGGGGCCAGGGCCTGGGGAAGGGCCTGGCCGAGGAGTTCCGCCCAGGGGTGGATCTGGAGTGGACATCTTCACAGGAGCTCCGGACAGTGGTCTCCTGCTAGAGAGAAGTCAAGGTCAGTCTGGGGGTCATGGGCTTCAGCTGGGTGGTTCGGGGCATTGTAGGAGGACCACAGTCATGTCAGAAGCACCCATCTAACAGGGAGCTGGTGCCTTTGACATGCAAACCTTTCTCCCCCAGATCTTTCTCCTCCATTCCTCTGAAAGGAGGTCATACATCAGACACACAAAATCAGATAAGAGTTCCCTGAGGAAGAGGTGAAACTCAGGAGTGGGGGAGGGGGGCTTCACTTCCCTTGCCATCTTTCTGATTACAACAAAGGGTGATGCTGATCTATACTTCACACCACTTTAATGCGTGTTCACCTTCCATTTTACCAAAAAAGGAGAGTGTAACTAAGGCTCAAAGCCACTGCCAGCAACAGCATCTGACTGGATTTTCAAAAATTCAATAAAAACAAATATTGGTGGCCAGTAATACTGGTTTTTCATTTAAGGCAGTGAGATAGTTTCCTTTAAAATAAATGAAGTTTAAAAAGTAGGTTCACAAAAAAAAAAAAAAAGGAGGTTCACTTAAAAAGAAGTATTACATAAACAATGGCACTCTGATATCTCAAATACTTCGAGAGTGATAATCAAATGTCTGAAGTTTGATGTACAATAAAAACTGACACCCAGAACTATGACTCAGAGCCTCCAAGTCCATAAATATTCAATGATGTTGATAAATTATACTTGCTAAGAAGGACCATGAGCTGATAAATTTTATAAATGCTTCCTACACTAAGGGTTCAATTTTCAAGCAACCCTTAATTAGTTATGTGGTTATATGGCCTTAAATAAAATTTTCTTTAATTCGGTAACCTCTTTCATCATGATGGAGCAATACAGTCTCAGTGGTGAAATCTGGAAAACAAAAAGAATATGAAGCTTAAAATCACCCATCATCCCACTAGATGCAGAATTAGGAGCCTGCTGGTCCTACAGAGAGGAAGAAGCAACCCTGCCCTTCTGACCTTTCCCAGCAGGATTCTAGAGGAGGTGTGTGGAAACAGAGACTCCCAAGAGACCCTCAGAGTTCCCCAGAGTGGTAAGGATGAGGCTGAGACATCCAGGATAGGCCCTCTTAAGGACACAGAGCGGCCCTAATGTTGTCCTTGGGGCCCTGTTACACACAAACACACACACACACACACACACACACACACACACACACACACACACAAAACAGAATTACTCAACACATTGTAGGCAAGCTTTTTCCTTTCTAAAAATATATTTACATTAATTTGAGAGAGAGAGAAAGGGAGAGGGCTAGAGAGACAAAAACATTGAGAGAGAAATGCTGATTGGCTGCGTCCGGCCAGCAATCCAGACATGTGCTGTGACCAGGAATTGAACTGGTGACCTCTTGGTCCATGGGTCAGTGCTCAAGCACTGAGCCATACCAGCCAGGCTGGCAAGCTTTTTTTTGTTTCATATAATCCTACCTATGACCATTTTTGTCATTTAATAGTCTTCAAAGCATGAACTCTAGCAGCTCCACTCCATTCTCTCATTCTGTGCATCCCGAGTTACTGAAAAGTCCCTATCCTGTTGGCATGTCACAAATATGGTTTTTGTTTCTGTGGATGTATTTTGGTTTTATAATGAGTCTCATTGCCCCTGGACTTCTGGTTCTAAAGAATAAATCCTGATAAGACGTTCATGAACATTTAAAAAATAAATATATTTATTTTTTTAATCATTATATATGATTTCAGAAAGGAAGGGAGAGGAAGAGAGAGAAAATCAATGGTGAGAGAGAATCATTGTTGACTGCCTCCTGCACGTCCCCTACTGGGGGCTGAGCCCACAACCCGGGCATGTGCCCTTGACTGGAATCAAACCCAGGACCCTCAGTTCACAGGCTGACATTCTATCCACTGAGCCAAACCAGTCAAGGCTCAGGAACATTTTTAATTATCTTGATTAAAAAAGGTTAATTTGGAAGGTGGAGGCATTTTCCTTGATAATAATAGATCAAAAGCCCAAATTTCTTTGTTCCAGTTTCATGAGCAAATAATCGGAGCAGACAGAATCAGAAACTTTAGCAGGGCAGAAACCAGTGGTCGTACACCAGCATGACCGTGAACAGACCCCAACATGCAAGAAAATGCTCCTCCATCCTCTGAGCGCCCCAGATTTCCTCCAAAGCTCCAGGAGCCTCAGTGTTGGACCTTAAGTCAGCCTCATAAGAGTACTGAAGAACTGGAGTCTGCTCACAAGCCCTTTTCCACAAATCCAAACCCAATTAAGCTAAGTGTAAAATTAAACTTTTAAAATATATATATATACTGCCGAAACCGGTTTGGCTCAGTGGATAGAGCATCGGCCTGCGGACTGAAAGGTCCCAGGTTCGATTCCGGTCAGGGGAACGTACCTTGGTTGCGGGCACGTCCCCAGTGGGGGGTGTGCAGGAGGCCGCTGGTGGATGTTTCTAACTCTCTATCCCTCTTCCTTCCTCTCTGTAAAAAAATCAATAAAATATTTTTTAAAAAATAAAATTTAAATTTAAAAAAATATAGATATACAGCCCTGGCTGCGAGGCTCAGCTGATTGAAGCATCCTCCCGATATACCATGGGTACAGGTTCAATCCATAGTCAGGGCACACTTAAGAAGTAATCAATGAATGTACAAATAAGTGGGACAACAAATGGATGTTTCTTTCGCTCTGTCCCTTCTTTCCTCTCTCTCACAAATCAATAATAAAAATTTTTAATAAAGTAAAATAAAAAATATATGCAGTTGACACAAATTCATTTGGAAGCCATTTAGAAGCAAAATGTGACTTGATTCAGCTCTGTGTGAAGAGTGACACATTCTGACATGGATACAAGATCCTGTTTGATCCCAAGACTCCGCCCCAGTCTTTGCCAAATACTCTGTATCTCCTTTGCTAAAATCCTGATTCTGGAGCCTGAAACTTCTGGTCCAGGAGTTAGTCTACAGGAGGACGCACCTGCAGTCACAATTCACAGGTGGGAAAGCAAGCAACACTGACATGGCCACACTGGGCAAAGGATGATGGCTTCCCCAAGCTTCTCTTTGGCCCTTTCATGTCCACAGCCCCTCTCAGGCCCACAGAGCACTGCAGTGAGGTGCGAAAAGGAACAGTGGTTCTGCAAATCCTTAAGGAATCCTGCAGTATCCATAGGCTCAGAGTTTTTTTCCTCACCTGGAGGTGCCTATTCTAAGTCAAGCCAACTGAAACTGACAGCAAAATAGAATCCATACCCCCAAGGGAACATCAACTTCCCCTCTAAAGGCAGACAGGCTGGCAAGCAAACTCTGGAAGTACCTTTGGAATGATGGCTCTTCTAAACGTAGTTTATACTTATCAGACCTTCTTCCCATCAAAGATGTGGTGCCTCTAGGAATTACCTGCCTCCACTGAGGAGGGCACAACACAGCACCCACTAAAGTTACTGAAAGACATCAAAACAGACTTTTTGTGCCCGAATGTGACACTGGCCACTTTTGACTTCTCATGACACTCTTTTAAAAATACCTGCTTCGTCGAAACTGGTTTGCTTAATGGATAGAGCGTTGGCTTGGGGAATCGAGCGCAGGTTTGATTCCGGTCAAGAGCATGTGCCTTGGTTGTGGGCATATCCCCAGTGGGGGGTGTGCAAGAGGCAGCTGATAGATGACTCTCTCTCATCGATGTTTCTAACTCTCTCTCTCTCTCCCCCTTCCTCTCTGTACAAAATCAATAAAATATATTTTTTAAAAATAAATAAAATAAAAATAAAAATACCTGCTTCAATCGCTTTTTGGGCCTTTTAGCTAAGATCAAGTGTAGCATCTGTTCTTATCCTTTATAAAAGGCTAATACACAAATTGAACGAACAGCAGAATGATCGGTTGCTATGACATGCACTGACCACCAGGGGGCAAATGCTCAATGCAGGAACTGCCCTGTGGTGGTCAGTGTGCTCCCACAGGGCGAGTGCCACTCAGCCAGAAGCCCTGAGTCAGGTTCATGGCTGCAAGCACAGTGGATTAGTCAGATATCTCCAAGGGCTCTCAGACTACAAGAGGGCACAGGTTGGGCTAAGGGGACACCCTGCCACCCATGAGTGCACAAATTTTGTGCACTGGGTCTCTAGTCAGTTTAATAAAATATTTGCTTCAGAAACTGCCACCTCTGAAGAGTCAAGCTGCCATGAAGCAGGTAAGTGCATGGAACCACCATTAGAGCAAACTTGTTTCTGGAGAGAAAGCTCAGATACATGCGGGGTGTGAAAGCAACAGGAATCCAAAGGAGTGCAAATACAATACAAAACCATTCCAAGCAGCACAGGGGGTAGGGCTCTGTCAAACACTGAGGAGCCCAATCAGGATGCTGGTGCCACATGTGGACAAGAACTGTTGTGATGGAGAGAACAGGAAAATGGAACCAGTGTGGCTCTCTGGTCCTCAGTGTATACTGAGGGGATTTTTATTTTAATTACCTGTAATGACTTGTAGCATACCTAACGTGCCCTGATTGTATGTACATATATGGATGAATCCTACATCAGACATAACACTTCCAACATTCCAGAAGGCACCCTCAGCTCCTTTCCCGGTTGAAACCACCTCCCTACGCAGAACCACTGCCCTGATTCTATCACTGTATATTAGTTTACTTGTTAGTGAACTGCATCTAAAAAGAAAATCACACGGTAGTGTGCTTTTGTTCATCTGGGAGGGACATCCATACTGTTGGGTATAGTGGTCATTTGTTTTTCTTCATTTGTCCTGTTCACAGACACTGTGTTACCAGTTTGGAGCTAGCCTGAATAAAGCTGCTATGAATAATATCATTTAGGGAACACAGATACTTTTTTTTTTTTTTTTTTTATACAGGAGTGGAATTGTTATAAGAAAGGCATAAATTTAGCTTTGGTAGATATTGCCAATTTTTCAAATTAGGAATATAATCTTACACACTGCCCTCCTAACAGTGAGTGAGTATTCCTG